GGGGCCCGGGCAGTTAACGGCGATATGCCCTTTGGCACCGCACTTGTAACACTCACGCTCGCTATGGGGGGTAAATTTTCCTTGGCCTCCATAATTTCCACCCCACGAGCCACTCCCTTTACCACCTTGTTTGCCTCCAATCTTACCTTTCATGTAGGACCCGTAGGTGGCCCGGTAACCCTTGCCTTTTCCGCCTTTGCCACCTTTACCTCCTTTGGTGAACTGTTTAGGTTTTGTGCAATTCCTGGCTAAATGACCCATGCCTCCACAATTGTAACATGTGGGGCCTGTGCCTTTACCTTTGCCTTGGTTTACGGCGTCGACTTCTTCATGATCTCCACTGTTACTCTCATTGGCCCAGGACCCGTAACTCCAAGATCCATCTTCTGGCCACCAATTTCCGTCATCATCAACCCATCCTGTCTGGTCCCAGACATTTTCGGACCCTTGACTCGTCTCGTTGATATTCCCAATGTCCATCGCATCTTTATTCTTGGTGTCTGAGTCGAGTTTCTTTTTACGCGCCCAGTCTTCACACTTAGAGTATAGCTTCTGGAATGAGTCAATGTTAAGCGCGTCGGGCGTTCGCCAGCACGCCTGCTGCCACTCGTCAAACCAATCGTTCGCATGCACCATTATTGCCCTGAGTGCGGTGACCTTAAAGGGGAGGGGCAGTGAGTAATCTTTACCATGCTTTTCAAGATTTTCTGCCAATGCACTCCACACCTCAAGTCGGGTGACAGTGTCAGTAATCTTCTTGGGCGGCTCAGGGTTCATGGCGTGTGTCATCTTCGATGACAGAGTCGCTCCGGTAACAGCCGAGTACCACTTGTAAACCTTTTGCCAAGCCATAATTCCATCACCATCCATAAGTCCCTTCAATTTTCCTTTTGCTTCTGCACCTTCGAGCTTCTCGTTAAGGATGTACCATAAGCCTTCCTCCATTTGAGTTTTGTCTCCCTCGGTAAACTCGTACTCTCCTTTGTTGTCATCCTCTGCTTGTTTAGTTGGATTCGCCTTCAAGTATTCGCTTGCTGTTAATCGGCCGTTCATTATGCGTATGATGTCATCATCATCCTCCTCTGGTACAACTCCGTCGAGTGTCTCCAACTTCTTGTTCGGCATTTTCAGTGCCGGTCGGTAACTCGGTTTTACTTGGGCCAGCGCATTTAAGAACTTGTCGCTCCAGTCTCTGAACTTTGCTCTTTCTCCACTGAAGTGCTTTAACGCCTGTAATGCTTTATATTCGCTTATCGGTTTACCGCTCCCGTGCTTGCTTCCACTTCCTCCTTTGATTGCTTCCGAAAGCTGACCAAATTTTTCAATCAACTTCTCTTGCACCTCGCTGTTGGTCTCCAACTCGGTGACTCTTTCCACCAGCCTGCGAGCATCCCTTTCAAGTGCAGCGTTTCTCTTCGTAATCGCTAACAACATGCTGTTGGTCTTCTGAGCACTCTGTAACATTTGGAATGCCTCGGCGTTCGATACTTCCCTTCGGTCCTGTGTCACTCGCTCGTTGATGAACGTTGCAAGTCCATAGTGGTTTGCAAGTAGCGCTGTCTGAACGTAACTGAAGTCTCCGTTCAGGTATGCCTGCTCGCACAGATCATTGAAGCGGTTAGGGTCCATATTGACCCATGCATCTCTGTCTGCCGGCACATTGAAGTTAACCGGTGGGTCGCCCTGCCCAGGCCTAGCTGCAGCGGCCGCCGCCGCCGCCATGGCAACCGCGCTCCGCTACCATGCAAAACCCCGAGGAGGGTTCTGCACGGGAGCCCAGTAACAGTGATGATGATCGGTCACCTTTATACTCCCGCACGGCGAAGCGAGTCTCGGTGGCTTCAGCCGTTAAACACTTGAGCCAAAGGTAACAGGGTTACTGTTCCTCCCCAGTCACCTGAACGCTTGCATGTTAACACCTCCTCCTCCTCCTCCTCCTCCTCCTCCTCCTCCTCCTCCTCTTCCTCCTCCTCCTCCTCCTCCTCCTCCTCCTCCTCCTCCTCCTCCTCCTCTCATCCTCCTCCGCCCTCATCCTCCTCCGCCCTCCTCCGCCCTCCTCCTCCTTCTCCTCCTCCTCTCCTCCTCCTTCATCCTCTCCTCCTCCTCCTCCTCCTCCTCCTCCTCCTCCTCATCCCGCAGAGGCGTCCCGGGAGCGGGCCCCGAGTCAAAATACCCCCCCCTAGGGCGCATTTTCCTCGAGCGGGCACGCCCGAGATGCACTTCTTCTCTTTTTATTTTTTTTTTTTTTATTTCCGGAGCAAGTTCCCAAGTCAGAATATCACCAACTCCGGCGGCGCACTTTTCCTCGAGCGGGCACACAAAGGATTGCTCTTCCTCCTCCACCTCTCTTTTCCTCCTCCTCTCCTCTTCCTCCTCCTCTCCTCCTCCTCCTCCTTCTCCTCCTCCTCCTCCTCCTTCCTCCTCCTTCTCCTTCTCCTCCTCCTCCTCCTCCTCCTCCTACTCCTCCTCCTCCTCCTCCTCCTACTCATCCTCCTCCTCCTCCTCTCCTCCTCCTCCTCTTCCTCCCCCTCCCCCTCCTCTCCTTCTCCTCCTCCTCCTCCTCCTCCTCCTCCTCCTCCTCCTCCTCCTCCTCCTCCTCCCACTCCTAGCCCTTTCGATCAGGGTCGGCGGCACCGGCCGTCAGGCCTCTCCACTCGAGGCCATAAGCCTTCGTAAATTACACCTTGCTCGCGTCCCCGAAGCCATACAACCTCGTGAAGTACGCAATCGTTGCATCCCCGAGGCCATAAACCTTTGAAAACCGAAGCCATACCCGTATAAATCACGCAATCTTCGTAGATGTGGGACACTCCGCAGTTTGTGAAGTCCCGACATTGCTTTACGTCAGCGTCCAGACATCCCAACACAGCTCTGGCAAGTCCCATTCTCAGAGGAGTGCCAAAAGTCAATGTTTCTGGCGTGTCTTCTTCTTCGAGTACACGTCGTTCATTTCTAGTCGTGTTCATCTCTAAGTGTGCTCGTTTCTGGCTGTTCCTGGCCCCCTAGGTGATCAGGAAGTGGCCAGTGGCCCAGGATAGAACAATCAGAAGTGAAGGAAGCTTGGCCCCCCAAAAAATCAAAGCATTCTCGAAGCATCGGGACTGAACAATGTGCACCTTGCTTATCTCTTGGGCGAGCCGTCGAGCTCGCCAGAAGCTCGCAGCGTCAGCAGACGGGCCGCAAGCCCGACGCCTCACCGGCCAAACAGACGGAACGGCACTCGCCAACTCGCCAACACCTTTTCTCGGGAGCGGCCAAGAGGGGGGTGTCCAAAAATCAGGGGGACGTAAGACCTGGGTAAGTACAGGGGACTCGGAAATCCCCGACGAGGTCGTCAAAAAAATAACGAGGCCGAGCCTGCATTTTGACGAGGCCTCCCGCTGCAGACATCCCACGAAACTCCTCCTCGTCAAAATCCGAGGCGCGGTCGTCAAAAAATGATGGCGAACCCGAGTCCTGGCAAACCCGGGTCTTACGCTCCCCCGAAAGAGGAGGGGCTGCAAATCATGACCGGCGGCATGTGCGCGGCCCGGCGGGGGGGACAGGGACGTAATGGAACTAAGAAGGGGCGCCATGAAATCTGGGGAAATATCATGGCCCCCGCCATGATGCTCACCCACCCCCTAGTCCTCACCTCCCTCGTTGCCGCCCCCGATCCCAGAGGCCTCCTAAGTGGGTTCCGGGTAAGTAAACGCTCTCGGAGGATCGCGCACTGCTGGTGCGTCGGCGATGGCACACCCCCCCCCCCTCAGCGCGCGCGCAGACGCCAGTGCGCGTCCACATAGACGATCAGACGCCTCCTGAGACGACAGGCCCGCAGATAGACCGCGCTGCCAGACACGAGATCCCAGACCCCCCATAGAGAATGTGGGGCCCGGCAGCCTTCCAGAACTCGCCATCGCTCTGGACCCGGACCACACGTCCTCTCCTGTCGCGTGCTGTCTTCCCGCACCTTCGTGCCGTCCGCGCCCTTGTTTAGCCAATCACCCGTGATCAAGATGCTCCACGATGCTCCTCGCTACGGGGTGCGGCAAAGGAGGGGGTTGTCCAGGAGGGGGGGGTGCAAATCATGGCCGGCGGCATGTGGCGCGGCCCAGGGGCGGGGCCAGGGGGACGGAATGAATTCCATATCTGCGCCAGAAGAAGAAAGATCTGGGGAAATATCATGGCCCCCGCCATGATATCCACCCCCCCCTAGTCATCACCCCCCTCTTTTCCGCCCCCGACTCGCCGAAGGAACAATGCACACGTCCGAACGATGCCAAGCCGAGGCACCGGCGATGCGGCGCGATCCTCCGACCGCCTCTGCGCGGACCCCCTCTCTGCCGCCCCCGCCCTTTTTGAAGGGGAACTGGAACACACAAATAAATACACACAAATAAAGATATCCCCCATATTTCCCCATATTTTCTGGGTTTCCGTCTCCCCCCCCACTTCCCATATTTTCCCATATTTTCCTGGGGATCACCGATTAATTGTGTCTGTGTGTTTTTTCTCCTCCTGACTTTTCCCCGCGCGCCCGAGCTGGCGGAGCAGCGGGCCACCGCCGCCGGGCAGGAGCCCGGGCTCGAGGCGCCGAGGCCGCCGGCGGAGGCCCCCCCCCGCGGGGCAGGCCGCCGCCGGCTCCGCGCCGCAGCCGCGCAGCGCCGCGGAGGCCTCGCGGCCCCGCGGCCGCGGCCGCGAGGCCCGCGGGCGGCCCTCGCCGCTCGAAGGCGCACGGGGCCCAACTCGCTCCTCCTGTTCTTCCTCCCCCCTCGTCCTCCTCCTCCTCCTCCTCCTCCTCCTCCTCCTCCTCCTCCTCCCCCTTTTCTTCCTCCCCCCTGTCCTCCTCGTCCTCCTCCTCCTCCTCCTCCTCCTCCTACTCCTCTCCTCCTCGTTCCTCATCCGACCTCTTCCCCGCGCCGAGTCCGCCGTGGCGGCCCGCGGCGGCCCTCAGCTCCGCAGGGCCGCGGGGCGGCGCGCCCAGCGAGGGGCCCCGCGCCTCGGAGCGGCTCCGCCGACTACCTCGGCGGCGCCAGGGGAGCGCCCCGCTGCTGCTGCTGCTGCCCAAGAGAAGGAGGAGGAGGAGGAGGAGGAGGAGGAGGAGGAGGAGGAGGAGGAGGAGGAGGAGGAGGAGGTCAGGGCAGGAGGAGGAGGAGGAGCGGCGAGAGGGGAGGGGGAGGGAGGGGCAGGAGGCGGAGAGGAGTGAGTAGGGGGAGGGGGAGGAGGAAAGGGGGAGGAGGTAGGAGGGGAGGAGGAGGAGGACGGAGGAGGAGGAGGAGGAGGAGGACTGACGCTACGAACTCTGACGAGCTCGACAGTTGCTAAGAAAAGGAGGATGATGGCCATGATGGGAAATTCTCCGACCACTACCATAAGTAGACGGGGGAAAAGGGAGGATGATGTTCAGGTTCCTGCTCCTCCTCCTATCCTCCTCCTCCTCCTCCTCCTCCTCCTCCTCCATTCCTTTACCTTATAACGAACTTCCCTGTCGCACCCCGAGGCTTGTTTTAGGGCGGGTCGGGCGTTTCGCCTGAGACTTCCTCACCGCTCATGCCTCTGAAGCTTCGAAAGTGGCAACAGCTTCGCGGATTCAGGGCGGGTAATTTTCAAGATGCGGCTGTCGCCTCGGCGCGCAAACATTCGTCTGAACAACATGCAAGAGCTTCACGGATTCAGGCCGTGCCGTTTCCAAAATGTGCCTCCCGATTCAACGTCGAACACATTGTTTGACATGCTGCAAGAGTTTCACGACTTGAGGGCGGGTCGTTTTCAAAATGTGGCTCTCGCATAAACGCCGCGCACATTCGTTATTAAACATGTGCAAACAACTTAACGAATTGACGGCGGGTTGTTTTCAAACTGTGGCTCTCGCCTTAGCGTCGATTACTTATTTTTTGAAGATGTGCAAGAGTTTCACGGGTGGAGGGCGGTTCCTTTTCACAATGTGTCTATCGCCTCAACGCCGCGCACATTCGCTCGAAAGTTTGCAAGAATTTGGCGGATTGAGGGCGGCTCTGTTTCAAAATGTGGCTCTCGCCTTCGCGCCGCGCACATTGATTTCCAAACTTTGCAAGAGTTCCGCGGGTTCCCAGGATCTGTGCACAAGAAGCTGCGTTCTGGAAAGATTTCGGATTATGAGGGCGACACAGTTACGTTGATTCGCGGGGTCGACGTCCCAGGCATGGCGTTCTGGCACGATTGAGGACCGTCAAGACGCAACAATCAGGTTGATCCGTGGCGCTGGAGAGCATACGTTTTGGTATTATTCAGGGTCTTCAAACGGTTGTCTTCCAACAAGGCAACTCCTTCAGTGGAAACGAACCGTTGCATGGGCCTATGAAGAGGGAGCTTGGAGGAAAGGTGAATTCCAAATCGTTGATGACCCTGGGGTTTACACTGGTCGTCCTCCTCCTCCTCCTCCTTCCCATCCCCCTCCTCCTCCCCCTCCTCCTCCTTCTCCTCCACAGTTGCACAATATGAATACTACTCCTCTCTTTCCTGGTGGCGTCTGGGGAATGTCCAGCCCCCGTCCGCGCTCTGGCTTTTTACGCAGAATTCCCGGGAATGGGGTTTTCGCTTGGGTTGCTTGTCCAAATGCTGCTCTCGCTGAAGCGCTGGCCTCATTTTCGGGCTACCGCTCGTCCCCAATCGTGCTCCTGCTGCAGCGCTGGCCTCATTTCCGCGCTTCCGCTCGTTCCGAATCGTGCTCCCGCTGCAGCGCTGGCGTCATTACTGCGAGTGCCATGCCCTGGCATGGTGTTCGATTCTTCCAAGTCGGCCCCAAAATGTAGAAAATGGCCTCCCGAAGAAATCATCGGAAGTGTTTCCACATTCGGTGTCGATTCGTTGATTTTTGGGCCGCAGAACCCCCCCCCACTTGGGGCGTCGCCACGCTATGCTATGTCAGGCTACGCGGCCTCATTTCCGCGCTTGGTATTTGTTCGAAATGCTGCTCTCGCTGAAACGCTGGCCTCATTTTCGGGCTACCGCTCGTTCCCAATCGTGCTCCCGCTGCAACGCTAGCCTCATTCCCGTGCTTCCGCTCGTTCCGCATGTGCTCCGCAACAGCGCTGGCGTCATTACTTCGAGTGCCATGCCCCTGCATGGTTTTCGATCCTTCCAAATAGGCCCCAAGATGTAGAAAATGGACTGCCGCCATTCCTCCGTGGACTGCTCTGTGATACCTTGGGACATCGCCTCGTCGCCATGGCTGGACTCGACCGACGTCCTGGCGCCCTTCCAGAGTCGTGTCGGCCCTCATCCAAGGAGCTGATCCTCTGCATACGCTGCGGCGGTTGGCCCCAAAGGGAAGGGTTTGAAGCTTGGCCGACCGTGTGAGGCTCCGTCACGGAAAGGTTTGGCACAACACCGCCCGCTATGGGCAAACCACCGCCCGCTATGGGCACAACACCGCCCGCTATGGGCAACACACCGTCTGCTACGGGCACACCACCGCCCCCTATGGGAACGACCGTACCTGGGAGTCTTCCGTCGAAAACGGCCCAAATTTAAGTCTCTGGTCGAAAAAAAAGCCAAAATTTGGGTCTCTGGTGGAGATTTTGTCTGAGTTCCGGAAGGGGAGCTGCCCGCACCCCAGAGCTCGGGCCGCCATCGACCGTGCTGTGCCACTCGACAGGCTCACCCTCTGCGCCGCCCCTCCTGCGCAAGACGCTCCCACTGTCGCGAGGACCTCACACTTGAGTTCGGATGCGGCCCCCTCCTGTGAGCAGCGTATGTCAGCCGCTCCTCCTCCTCCTCCTCCTCCTCCTCCTCCTCCACCTCCTCTCCTCCTCCTCCCAATCCTACCTAGGGTCGTGGTGGTAGAAAATCGGCCAAGCGGGCCACCGTTCGAGCATCAGCGGAGGCTCGAACGGTGGCCTCTCGATCCTTCTCTTGGCCGGCCACGCGCAGCCCGAGCCGCTGCATCGCGATGCCTGCACGCAGCCGCATCCAAGCCTGCCGACGCTTCGAGGGATGTTCGCCTCGCAGCCTGCTTAAGGCCACCGTTACAGGCAGGGCCTGCGTTGCCGCAAACTTCGAAGAGCTACACGCTGTACAAGCATAACCTTGCGACGGTCCGCGCGGACTTCTTGGATCCGCGCTCGGCCCCCCTGGCGGCGCCTCCGGAGCCGCCCTCAGCGCGCTCCGCGTGCACGGAGAGGGCTCCGCACGGACCGTCGAAAGTTTATGTTTATGTCTTTTCGTTTGCTCCTCGAAAGCTGATATTTGGCGGCGGTGCGGCCTCAAAGCCCTGGATGCGTCACGTTGACATCGGATATATCTTGATTTCGGTGGCGGCGCCAGTCATGAACCACAATGTGCCCTCGGTGCGGCATCGAGATTTTGCAAGAGGCTGGCATCATAATCGCTCGCCAGCGCAAACCTACTTCTCGCATGGCTTAGTCAATTTGGCGGTGGCATCGGAAACAACTGCGCAATAGGCGCCCAGGAGCATCGATCCCAGACCTGCGAGGTAAACTCGTGCTCTTGTTCTAGATGTGTAGGGCGAGAATGCTGTGATGCTCGGAGTGGCTCAGGGTGCGCTCCAGGATATCTCCAGAGCGTCTAGCGGCGCAGCCGGTGCGGCACATTAGGACACATGGGACGTCCTGCAAGCCTTGTGGCCATCCTGGAACCTATCATCATCATCATCATCATCATCATCATCATCATCATCATCATCATCATCATCATCATCATCATCATCATCATCATCATCATCAGCATCAGCATCATCATCATCATCATCATCATCATCATCATCATCATCATCATCATCATCATCATCATCATCATCATCATTGCCGTTTGCTCCTCCGAGTGTGGGCCCGCATCGGGCCCCGGGTGCTTCGGAAATGGACCCCTGGGGCGGAGGGCTGGCCCCGGGGAAGGGGCTGGGGCCCCTTGGGGCCGCGCGTCGACAACACTGATCGGTGGATGTCTGGGATGGAGGAGGAGGAGGAGGAGGAGGAGGAGGAGGAGGAGAAAGAGGAGGAGGAGGAGGAGGAGGAGGAGGAGGAGGAGGAGGAGGAGGTGGATGTCTGGCATCACTCGAGCTCGTCGGCCCGACTTCGTGCTGCCCTCTGCGCTCTGCCCGCTTGCCCTCTGTGGGGCTCCCTGCCGACACCCCCTTTGCAGGCGCGCCTTCGCCTCTGAGCGTTCGGCTGAAGCGCGCTCCGGCAGGGAGGAGGAGGAGGAGGATGAGGATGAGGAGGAGGAGGAGGAGGAGAAAGAGGAGGAGGAGGATGAGGAGGAGGAGGAGGAGGAGGAGGAGGAGGAGGAAGGAGGAGAGGAGGAGGGGGAGGATGGGAGGAGGAGGGGGAGGATGGGCCATGCCTCGAGCCCTCGCTCCTGCGGCATGCCCGAGAACAGGGATGAGGGGGAGGAAGCGCTGCGGATCCGCCTCCGCCGGTCGCGGACATGGCGCTCCCGCCGAGGCTCAGGGGACGGCGGCCCCGAGCGCACTCCCCCACCTCTCCCCCTCCTGCTCCTCCTCCTCCCCCTCCTGCTCCTCCTCCCCCTCCCCCTCCTGCTCCTCCTCCTCCCCCTCCTGCTCCTGCTCCTGCTCCTCCTCCTCCTCCTTCTCCCTCTTCACCACGCTACTTCTCGCTACTCCGAAGGCCTCCCAGATTGGGTCCGAGTGGATGGGTTCGCAGGATCGCGCCGCATCGCCAACGCATCGGTGATGTATTGACGCCGTCGGCGATGCATCGGCGCCGTCAGCTTGGAGGAAATCGGGCCCCACCTCACGCCACATGCAGGCACATCGACGGTGCGGCGAGACCCTCCGACCCCATCTGCTACTGCGAGGACCCCACTGGGAGGCCTGGATTCTCCTCCTCGTCCTCCTCCACCTCCTTTCGGGGATGGACAGACCCCCCTTTAGTAAAACGTGGTTTAGTGAAAACGACCTGAGGCCCAAACCTGGCGGGCGCAAGCCTGGAAAATAACGGCCACGGCGCCCTCTCGAGAACCGAAAACGGACAATCCACTAATCGACGTGTCACTGTTGGGGGTTCTGTCCACCCCCGATCCTTTCGGGCAAGCGCCAAGATGGATGAGCGATCTGCGCATCCCGGCGCGTGGTGCCAGACTCACGGATCGGGGGGGCGTAGGCTCGGCAATCAGGGAACCACCTCCGCCGCATGTGGCGACGGGGCGCGCCCTGCTCTGCATGGGAGCGGGACCCGCCGCCGATGGACGCGCTCCGGCCCCGGTCTGCGCGCCCAGTTCTCCCCCGTTGGCCAGGCTTCGAGTCTGGACGCCCGAGAGGGGAACATGCGCAACAACAAACCCAGACCCCCGACGTCATGATTTTTTCATGACGCGACCCCGAGAGGTCCGGACCCATTCCCCGGGACCGGTTTTTCATCCCGAGTCGTTTTTTTACTGTCCTGAGGGCCGGTAAGGGCCCCCGGAGGCCGAAAATAGCGAAAAACCTTCCGTCGTGATTTTTTCATGACTCGAGGGGGTCTGGGAATGCTGCCCAGAAGCGGGACCCGTCGCTAATTGACGCGCCCTGACCCATGTCTGCGTGCCCACTTCTCTCCTAGGTTGGTCAGGCCTCGAGTCTGGGCGCCCGGGAGGGGAGCAAAGCCCAGCAACAAAGTGCTGTCCAGGAACGACGGCGGCCGCTGTCGGGCAGGCGGCCATGCGTTTTCGGGTGCACCGCGCCCGCGGCAGCGAGGACAGCGAGTCCTGCTCAAAATGAAGAGGGACTGCTGCTGTTGGGGGGCCCGAAAATACACCCCACCACCACCTCCCGCCCCACCTCCCTCTCGCTGGACAGAGGAGAGAGGAGGAATCGACGTGGTGGTGGTGTATACTCTTTGGGCCCCCGTGTTGGTCACCGTACTGCAGGTCCGTGCCGTGCCGACCCTGGCGTTGGTTCCTGACACCGCGCTGGATCGCTCTACCTTGAACGATCGGCCGCTGCCGCAACGTCCGATCGTTCAACATCGATCGATTCTGGGTCGCCGGCGGCGTTCAACCTTGAACGCCCGCGCTGGGGTCGCCGCTGGTCGACACGACGCAAACCTACCGTACGCACTCTTCCCGTACCCATTTCGATCGTCCCGATCGGGCTGCGCGCGGACAGCTCCCCCACGCAGTCCCGGCTGGCCGCCACGGGCCCCCCGAGTCCGGGGCGGCCGCGGCGCCCCGGAGCCGCACCCCTGTGGTGCTCGGGCCCCCAAGCTCTGGGTGCCGAGAGCGCGCCGGACCGCTCGGGGGGGGCCTGCGCAGGCCAGCTGGGCTCCTCGGGGGGGCCTGCTGAGGTCGGCCGGGGCCAGTTGCCTGGAACCGGGCTGCCTGCGGGCAGCCCGAAGCCTCCCATCCCACCCCCTCGCTCCCCTGCCCCCCTTCCTTCCTTCAGACTTGGCGCTTCGGAGCACCTGACACATCGCCAGGGATCACGACAAGAGCCCCAGACCCCACGATTCTGCGCCGTGTGCCGAACCGGTTCAGTACAGAAGGGCCCCAGGGGCCCAGACCAGGCCAGAACGCCCCCTGCCGCTGGGCGACGCCTGATGAACACGAAGCCAGGACGAGGATCATCGGGTGAAAAATGGGGAATCTCAGTGATCTGGCGGCTCTGGAGGATGTCTCGGGCGCCTCGGTCTTCTCAGAGCGTTCGGGAACGCTCTTAAAACGGTTTGGAACACTCTGAAACGAATTTGGGGGAACCAAGAGGTACCGATACCGCTACTCCCCAGACCTCTCCCGCGGTGCGTTCTGAGAATCCAGCGGTGGCGACGAAGGCCTCCCTGGAGGCCCCAAAAAGCAGAAGCGGGCGAAGGGTAGCGGTATGGGTAGCTGTTCTCCCTCTGAGGATTGGCCCCCGTCCTACAAAAGATGGCCTTGGCATTTCGAAAATGCTTCAGCGCTAAGCATGTTCGATATCCAGAACAATTCTATCCGGGAGCCTTCCCACAGTCTAGAACAATTACGAACATTGCGGTGGCGTTGTGTTACTGTTAAAGGCCTCCTGGATGGGTTCCGAGTAGATGGGGTCGAAAGATCGCGCCGCATCGCAAATGCATCGCTGATGTATCGGCGATGCATCGATGACGTCGGCGATGCATCGGCGACGTCGGCGAGGGGAAACACCGGCTCCACATGGAGCCGCACCGCCGCAGCATCGGCGACGCGGCACGATCCTGCGACCCCACCTATACTCGGACCCCACCTGAAGAGGAGCAGGAGGAGGAGGAGGAGGAGGAGGAGGAGGAGGAGGAGAAGGAGGAGGAGGAGGAGGAGGAGGAGGAGGAGGAGGAGAAGGAGAAGGAGGAGGAGGAGGAGGAGGAGAAGGAGGAGAAGGAGGAGGAGAGAGGAGGCGGGAGGCACGGCTCTGCTCGCCGCGGTCGGCACGCATTTCCTCTCATAGCTCGGTTGCGCTGGCGCTCGCTCCCCGCCGCTCTGCCCGCTGCCGGCGGGCCGGGGGCCACCAGAGGCCGTCTGAGCTCCACGCAGGCCGCCGTCCACCAGAGGCGGCCCCTGGGCGCACGCAGCCTCGGGAGGCGCGCTGGGCAGAGGAGGAGGGAGGAGGGAGGAGGAGGAGGAGGCGGAGGGGAGGAGGAGGACAGGAGGGAGGAGGAGGAGGAGAGAATATGAGGAGGAGGGAGGAGGGGAGGAGGAGGAGGGAGGCGGAGAAGGGGGGGCAGGAGGAGGAGGAGGAGGATGGGAGGAGGAGGAGGAGGAGGAGGAGGGAAAACGACGAGGAGAGGAGAAAGAGGAGGAGGAGGAGGAGAAGGAGGAGGACGAGGAGGAGAACAGGGAGGACGACGAGGAGAGGAGGAGGAGGAGGAGGAGGACAAGAAGGAGGAGGAGGAGGAGGAGGAGGAGGGGGAGGAACAGGAGGGAGAGACTCGAAATGAGGGTGCGTGTCGGTGAAGATGCGTTTTCACTATCAAGAACAAATCGGTTTGTGGATAAAACAAAGATAGTTTGGGCACGGTGGTCGGCTGGTCTCCGTGCCCCCGAACAAATCGGCAGTAGCATGGAACAACAAGTCAAAACAGGAGGAGCAAACACGGTATGGTAAGACCCCATTCGGCTCTGGGTTTCAAGCGAGACTGTTGTACTTCACCAGCTTCTGTGTGCAAACCGCACACAAACAAGCGAAGCGGAATAATGCTAATATGGGGAAGCCTTCTGCTGTCCAGGTCTCACTAAACGAGCAGAGGCGTTTTAAAGCGCTAGATGTAGACAGTTACAATGCACGCACTTATGTAATAATGCATGTGCTGAGGCCTTCGCCATAGCAAAAACCGAGCACACACCTGATATTACATAACCACGCCCGAACAAACAACAGCAGAGAAGAAAGGATACTGGAATTCAGAAGGCTCTCAGAAAACTATGAGACGGCAGATCATTATGGGAGAACACGCGGAGTCTGACTTGCACTCTCAACTGCCAGCGTACACCCACACAGTTAGCGACCGCCCTCTCATTCACATCTTCACCCTCGTTGCATTCCCCTTGGCCGTATCGCATTAGCGTACTTCGTGCACGATATGCGGGTCACTACACCTCATTCTCTCCGTAGCGGGGTGTGTCGCATTCGCGAACACAGCTTGCGATATGCGAATACTCACTGCATTCGCGAACGTTGCCTGGACATGCGAAGCCGAGTGGGTCGACGATGCAGACGGCGGCGCGTCGCTGCGCGGGCAGCGCGTAGGCGGCTGTTCCGAGGAGGGACACAAAGAGGTCAATAAGTGGACCTCCATCCAGCTCGTCGGCCTTCGGCTTGACCTGGCCGGTGCTCCCGACGGGACCAGCGCATCGATGTACTCGTCTGGTCGAGAGTAGCTCTACCATGGACACTGCTCATCTTGCCAAAGACGCTCTCGGTGTGGGATGAGTCGGTCAGCGTGCCCCTTGCGTCCTACGATCTTGAACCCGTCAACGTGCTTGGACAGCACGCGCACTACCTCTGAACCGCTGACACCACAGGTGCCAAACGCCTCATGCTTAACCTCGTGCTCAGGGCCCCACAGTGCTGGCTTGGCGTTGCAGTCGGGCGAGCGCGTGGCAGTGGTGAGCTTCATGGAGACAGCTCTGGGCGCATCCGTGCAGCCCGCGCCCTGATGCATGCAGCGCAGGCGCTCGGTCCGCTCGCCGAATGTCTCGTAGCCTGGAACATGCCTGAAGATGGCAGCGCTGCCAGGCGGCAGGATGAAGTTCACCTCTCGTGGTGCTTCGCCATGCTCCTGCCTCTCGGCATAGGTCGCGCTCTGCCGGAACGCCTTCTCGGCGTCCGCTGCGACGTACACTCAGTCTGGGCGACAAGCCGCCTCTGAGGACAGAGTGCGCTGGGACACCCGTTTCGCCATGCTGGCGAGCGTCCCCCAGGCGCTGGCGAACGCGCGGCGAAAACCTCTCAGCGCCATACGGCGCCAGATGATCCTGGCAGTTCTGCTGTCATGCATCTTGCGGCGCTTCCGCTTGAGAACGCGTCTGGGGTCCACGGCGTTCCGGGCGCCTTTGAGAGGTCGTTACTCGAAACGGTTGCATGTGACCCAGATCGTGAGCTCCTCGAAATGGTTGCGGCCACGTTCTTGGACAACCTCGACACCTCGAGGATGGTTGCGGCCACCATCTTTGGATAGGAGATCTGTCGGCTGTGGCGGAAGCGCCGTCACCATAGCTGCCGTCATGGCAGCTCAGGAATGCCTCTCGCACTCCAGGGTCGGGGTACAGTTCCACGTGTCATCCTCTTTCACCATTCTACCCTAGGTTGGCATATTATCGTTTCACATCGCGCAGCACAGGTAATAGTGGCACTGCGCGTGGATGTGCTGACGCTGGTCCTGCGTCTACAAATGCTGGGGCGCTCGAGTGGCTGGCGGTCTATGCTGGTGGCCGCGTGCTCGACAGCAGCGTAGAGCATCTGCTGGCTGTCGGTGCTGTCCTGGTCTATCAGCTCCTGGGTCAGATTCTCTGCGCCCGCGACCTCCTGCCAAACTGCCAACATCACCTATTTAATGTGGCCAGAAGAATCCGTGTAAGCCTTTTCGGGTATCACCGACAAGGCTGATGGTGATCCATCCTCGGCAACGCTGGCGGCATCCTCGAAGACGTCGGTCGCACAGTCATCGACCGTCCCGTCTTGGTCCAGCCCGCCGTCACCCATGCCACTGATCGCCGATGAGGCTGTGAGCGTCGAACTTGATGCCGTTCAAGAGCGAGTTGTGGACGTCGCTTGAGCTCCGAGGCCTTGACGGCCCCGGGGCCTTGTGAGCCTCCAGAAACCGAAAATAAAGACAAACTGAGAGTCGTATTTTTGTTCCAGGACTCCGTGGTCGGGCGAGAATGGTGTCATGATAAGATTGTCTCGGGGTGCGCTCCAGGACTTTAGAGCGCCCTCGTATTTGCAGCCCGTCTGGAAGATCGGAAGACATGGGAAATCCAGGAAACCTTGGAAATCCTGAAAACGTGTGATACTTATCATAACCTCTTTCTTTCGCAGATCTACCGACCCTGGGCAGTGCAAACACGGGCGAATCGGGCTCTGCAGGATCCTGCAGCATCCTGCGCGCAAGCCCGGGTCAGTGCACCCCTGGCTCTGCAGCATCCTGCAAGATCCGGCGCCCTGGCTGACCCCCGATTGTATTGACCCCGTCCCTTGATTTGGGTGTAGGGGCCCGACCACAAGCAAGCTGCCACAAGAAACCCAACCCAAGAAACCCAGTGCACGTCCATCGATTTTTGTTGCGAGGAAACGTCTCCCTCTCCATGGCAAAACCATCGAAACCCAAGAAACCCAGTGCACGTCCATCGATTTCTGTTGCGTGGAAGCGTCTCGCTTTCCATGGCAAAACTATCGACACCCAAGAAACCCAGGACACCCTGGAGGCATGCAGCGTATTTCTCGGCCTGGGCCACCACGGCACGATGCCCCCCCCAAACAACAAGCCCTGCCCAGATTCGACGGCGGCCCCGGCTGGGCAGGCGGCCTCCTGCCTCCGATGGGCACCGCCCGCAGGCGACACCGGCAGCGAGTCCTGCTCCACCTGGAACGGGAACTCCTGTCGCTCTCACTGTGCCCATTCCATTCCATCCGTACCCAGTCCGATCGTCCCGGCTCGAGTTTTAAGCCCGGCGTGTCCCCCTACAGGCGGGTTTTGGGCGAAGCATGGGAAACACGCAGAACAAAGCCCTAACAGAATCACGGATTACACACGAACAAAAAATCGCCCCCAGACCCTTTTGCCACTATCTGTGAACCTCCCCCCCTGTAGCGAGACAGGCCCGGCTGCAGACTTGGCGCCCCCGCGCTCCTCCGAGGTCCCGCCGCCCGGCGCCGGCGAGAGGGGCGGCAGAGAGAGGGCCCGGGCCCGCCGCGCGCCCGCAGGCCCAGGGCTCTCACGGGGGGCCGCGGCCGGCGCGCTCGCCCCCCGGGGGCCGCGGCCGCCCGCGAGGGAGGGGGGGGACGGGGCGCCGACGCGGGGGCGGGACGGAGAGGGGGGCGGAGAGGAGGGACGCGAGTGGGGGCGCAGGTGGGGAGGACGCGGCGGCCCGTTGCTTCTCCCATGCCTCCCCCTGTCTCCTCCTCCTCATCCTCCGCCTCCTCCGCCTCCTCCTCCTCCTCCTCCTCCTCCTCCTCCTCCATCTCCTCTGGGGATACCAGGAGATACTGATACGTAGCACCCCGCAGTTGCGGATAAGAGTGAGGGAGCGGCAAGGACGTCGTCACTCGGCGCGGCTCTGAAGAAGCCCGCCGCAGGCGCCGAACGTTTTTTTTTGCTGTGTTTTTGTTTGTTTTGTTTGTTTGTTATATATATATACAAAATATGCAGTGAGCCCGCCGCAGGCGCTGATTTTTTCGTTAAAGCAATGTGAGCGGACCGCTGCTCACCCGATCTCTCCCCGCGTGCTCTCTGACTAACATTTTGTTGCAACTCCCGCCGTGGCGACGAGCCGGAAACCCAAGCATGCGGACACGAGGCAAAAGGGGGTAGCGAAATCACGCGCTCCTCCCCAGAGGCCCGGGGGCTGGCCCGGGGCTGCTCCTCGGCGTCGAGCGCGGAAAACCGTTGCTGCCCCGAGGTCACTCGATCCTCCTCGCTTCTGCGGGCAATACTTCTGTCCATGTCCACTGCGACATGGAGTTTCGGGTTCCCTTCCCCAGAAACCATGGGCGCGCTGGATATGGATACACTTGCCCCCCAGAGGCTCGATTTTTATCCATATCCAGTGCGCCTCGGCCTTGTGGCGCCGCTTCCAAAAAAGTCCAAGACGCACTGGATATGGATACGAACCTTGCCCGCAGCTTCGCTCCGGCGGCGGCCCCTGCCAAGGTGCCCGAGGAGCCCGCCGAGCGGGCCGCGCCGCCCGCCGAGAAGGACCCGGAGCACAGCGGGCACCTGGCGCCGGCGGCGGGGGCGACAGTGGATACGTCGGCGCCTGGCTCCCAGCTCATTCCTCCTCCTCCTCCTTCTCCTCCTCCTCTTCCACCTCCTCCTCCTCCTCCTCTTTCCTCCTGCTCCTCCTCCTCCTCCTCCTCCTCCTCCTCCCTCCTCTCCCCCTCCACCTCCTCCTCCCTCCTCCTCCTCCTACTTCCTCATTCCTCCTCGTCCACCCCCCTCCTCCTCCTCCTCTCCTCCTCCCCTCTCCTCCTCTTTCCTCTGCTCCTCCTCCTTCCTACCTTCCTCCTTCCTCCCTCCTCCTTCCTCCTCCTCCTCCTCCTTCCTTCCTCCTTCCTACTTCCTCATTACTCCTTCCTTATTCCTCCTTCGTCTTCCGCCTTCTTCCTGCCTCCCTCCTCCTTCCACCTCCTAGCTCCTTCCTCCCATATTTCCTTCCTCCTCCTGCCTCATTGCTCCTTCCTCCTCCCCCTTCATTCTCTTTCTCCTCTTCCTCCTCCTCTTTCCTGCTCCTCCTCCTCCACCTCCTCCAGTTCCTCCTCCTCCTCCTCCAGTTCCTCCTCCTCCTCCTCCTCCTTCTCCCCCTCCTCCTCCTCCTGCTGTTCCTGCTCTTCCTCCTCGTCCTCCTCCTCCTGCTGTTCCTGCTCTTCCTCCTCCTGCTCCTCCTCCTCCTTTGTCTTCCTCCTCCTGCTCATCCTCCTCCTGCTCTTTCTCCTCCCACCGTTTTTTGGGGACACTGGATGGCGGCAGTGCCAGATTGTGTGCATCCACAGACTATGCGCGCCCACCCCGGTTGCGAGGCCGTTTGCCCCAAGGACACACCCCAGCTGAAAGGCTGACATTCTCACGACGAGTCGCTACCAAGGTTCGTCCCCTTTCGGAGGTCTGCCATCCCCGGCCGGCGTTTACTTGGCCGCACTTCGGGGCGACCATGCGGACGATCCTTCGTTTCTAGACAGCGGTCATGGGCTCGCGGGGACGTCCTCCTTGGCAACACGGCGTGTGCAGAGGCAGCAGGTGACGAAGAAACCTCGTCTAGAATACATCCGCCTTGGACGGGTGGAGAGATCCTCGCGGCCCACCCTCAGTGGTCCCACCGCGGCCTGAGTCCGCTCCCTTGGTCCAGTCCTTGGAGGGCGTGGGGGAGATATCCTGGAGGACGGGAGGGTTGCAACCCTGTGCCAGCGAATGCTGGCATTGCCGTGGCAGACAGGACAAATAGCGGATCTTGTCGACTACGCCTTCCATCCCATCCCCATCCCTTATCACCCCGCCGAAGTGCGCCCCCGCCCATCACCCACGTCTCCAGGAGGAACGAGGTCGCCTGGCGGCCGCGGCGTGCAGGCAGGCCACGGCTGCGGTGGCGCCTTCTTGGCCCAAACGGCGGCGACCGCACAGAGGCGGCGACCGTTGCCACTGCGAACACGCCCTGGGCGCAACGTACGCTAAAACCACAGCGCTGGGGTGCAGCCGCCTGCCGGGCGGTGCATCCGCGGCCGGGGGGGGTCAGTTAGATAACGCGGCGCATGCCTGCGGGCGCAGGGGGCCAAGACGCAGTCTGGGCGCAACTCATCGGATCGGCGTGTAGTTCGACCGACGGTCGAACGACGGACATCGCCCGACGGACCAGCACGCGCCAACCTGTGGTCCCAAAGGTGGCGCTCCGCCCTGCCGTGGGGGGGGCTCTCCTCTGTCGCCCGCGGGCCGGCGATCCGCCCCCCCGGGAGAGCCGCCGACCCGTGCATAACCCCTGGGAGTGGCGTGTCTCCGCGCCGCTGTGGAGTAGGCCCCTCGGCCAGGCGTCAGCCGGCGATCGGTCCTGCTGGGCAGCCAGCCAGAAACGTCACCCCTGTACGGCATGTTCGTGTCGTGCCGACCCCAGCGTTGGTTTTTGACACCGCAGGGATCGTTCAACCTTGAACGATCGGCCGCTGCCGCAACGTCCGATCGTTCAACATCGATCGATTCTGGGTCGCCGGCGGCGTTCAACCTTGAACGCCCGCGCTGGGGTCGCCGCTGGCCGGCACGACGCAAACCTACCGTAATAGCGGTGAGCCTGCGTTGGAGCAGGGCCCCCTCGTCCCGACTCAGACGTTAGGGTGCCTAGCTGGGCCCGGACGTTCCGTGCCAGAGCCGCCCGCATGATCCGCGGGCTGGCGACGGTGCTCGCGCAGAGAAGGGGTCTGGTGGCCCTGCCGCGTCCTGCCCCCCCCGGTCCCCCCCCTCCTCCTCCTCCTCCTCCTCCTCCTTTTCCTCCTCCTCCTCCTCCTCCTCCTCCTCCTTCTCCTCCTCCTCCTCTCCTCCTTCTCCTCCTCCTCCTCCTCCTCCTCCCCTCCTCCTCCTCCTCCTCCTTCCTCCTCCTCCTCCTCCTCCTCCTTCCCTGTCGCACCCCGAAGCCATTTTTCGATACCCCTCAGGAGGATCGTGGCCTCCGAGGGGGGAGCCGCAATCAACTGCCCACCCTCCCGTCCCAAGAGGCCCCCAAGAGCCCCCAAAGAGGCCCTAGGGGCCCCCAAGACGCCGCCGAGGAGCCCCAAGAGACTCCCAGGAGGTCCCCAAGAGGCCCCCAAGAGGCCTTAGAGAGGGCTCCAGCGCCGGCGGAATGAGCGAAGCGATGAATAACTTCTCACCGTCGCACCCCGAAGCCAGTTTTTAGAGCGGGCTGGGCGTTTCGCCTGAGACATCATTCCTCACCATGTATGATCATGAGTCTTAAAAATTTGCAACAGTTTCACAGATGGAGGGCGGCCCGTTTTCAACATGTGGCTCTCGCCTTAGCGCCGCGACCATGTGTTTTAAAACTTGCTAGAACTTCGCTCATTGAAGATCTCCCGTTTTCAAAAAGTGGCTCCCGCCGTAACGCCGCGCACATTCGTTGTCACAATTTGCAAGAACTTCACGGGTTGAGGATCACCCGTTTTCAAAATGTGACTCTCGCCTTAGCGCCGCGCATATTCGTTTACGAACTTTGTAAGAGATTCACGGATTGAAAATCACCCGTTTTCAAAATGTGACTCTCGCCTTAGCGCCGCGCACATTCGTTTACAAACGTTGCAAGAGCTTCACATCTTGTGGGCGGTTCCTTTTCAAAATGCGGCTCTCGCCTTAGCGCCGCGCACATTCGTTTACAACATTTGCATGAGTTCCACGGGTTCCCACGATCAACATACCAGAAATAGCGTGTGGGAAGAATTGATTGAGGATTGCGCGGGTTGATTCGCGGTGTTAAAAAATCCAAAGAATGGCGTTCTGGCGCGATCCAGGATCGTCAAAACGCGACAGATACGTTGATCCGTGGCGATGGAATCCCGAGAACAATGTCTTGGCATGCTTCCGGCCGGGTCTTCAATCGGTTGTCTTCCAACGAGACAGGTTTCTAAATGGAAATGCACCATTGTAGGGGCCTATGAAGAGGGAGCTTGGAGGAAGGGTGTATTCCAACGTCGTTGATGGTTCCTGGGTTTACACTGGTCCTCCTCCTCCTCCTCCTCCTCCTTCTCCTCCCCCTTCTCCACCATCACTTTTCGTTATGAACAACTTACAGGAGAGATGTCGCCCCCTATCCCAGGCTTCGTGGGGATAGACCAGACATGTCGGGCGCACATCGGGCATACAGGGCAGGGGAGCGCCCATCCGCGATAGGGGGGGCGTCCGATTTGACCCCGTGGGGTGTCTCCCCGAGTCCCCCTCCTTTCTTGCGCGGCTTGATTTTTGTATGGTAGTCGGGGGCTGGGGTCCCCCTCCCTGGAGAGCAAAGTTCCCAGACCCCCTCGAGTCACGAAAACATCACGACGGGAAAAATTCCACCATGTTCGGCCTCCAAGAGCCCTTCCCGGGCCTCGGAACCGTAACCTTCAAAAAACTGCTCAAGATGAGAAACTGGTCCCGTGGAGTGTGTCGAGGCCGACGCTATGAAACAATCATGACGTCGGGGATCTGGGTAGGGAGAGCATAGCTTAGAGGCATCCCCTGGGAGGTCTCCGTCAGAACGACTACGGGCTACTCAGCCAGAGCGAGAGGCCAACTAGCGATACTCAGCGAGAATAGGCCCAGGGCTAACCCGGAGAAAGCGGGAGTCAGCCGGCGTACAGTGCATTAAGCCAGGCTGCGCGCAATTGAAACAGATTCGGCCAGCTTTCGACCATAGGAATATACCAGCGCCGATTCAGAATATGCCCCCTCCAAGACTTGCATCCCAGGCGAACGAGGGATTGCCAAGGATCTAGCGCGAACCCACGGGCTGGCCACTTGCACCTCGGCCTCTGCGAAATGGGCACACACGGAAAGAGGGATCTTGGCATTTGAAATCCTGCTCTGGAAGAAATCCTCATTACATAATGACTTCATCGTCGATATCTGACGGTCCTGAGGAATCATCATTGCATACTGACTTCTCGTCGTCGTCCCCTCTGCGACCCCCCCACGACCTGCCCGTGACCCACCCCGCGACCCACCCGCAACCTACCCCGCAACCTGCCCCGCGCCCGCCCCCTCACTCTTACCCGCAATTTCGGGGTGCCATGCGTAGTTTGAACTTCGGGCAATGACATTTCCTTGGACATTCTGACTGGCAGAACCTTTGAACCTGGCTAACGGCGCGCAAAAGACCACTTGATTGTGAAGCTGGCACTCGTCAACGACAGCACGAGGGAAACGTGATACGTGACCCACTTGAAGAATATTCCTTGGCCATGCATGGGCCAAGAACCATCAGTAGGTCATTCGTGAACCATGTTAACGGGTCGCCATTAGGTAGAAGTCACTGTTGAGTGTGTCGTGAGCCAAAGTCGTTGTACATTAGCGCCCCCATTGGTGGGCAAGCAGTGGGCAATTCGTGGACCCTTAGTGGGGCGAAGAATACATCGGGCATTCCACTAGCAGCTGGAACAGGAGAAACGGTCAGCCCTCCATGAAAGTTTGGAAAACGAGATACGGTCAGGAACTGTTGCTTAGCGTGTCGCAGCGGCGGCACCAGCGGCACGCGAGTGGATAGCGTATCGCTCCGCTCCGCGAGGCGGCCAGGAAGGTCTCGCGAGGTTGACGCCCGGGGACTGGGACTTCAGTAAGGGCGTATCGCGCCGCAGCGTGGTAGGGCAGAACTGGCGGCGCGACACACTATCGAAGCATTCCCGACCACACCCAGCGGGCGTCCCATTTTGAAAACGCAACGGCCTCTAACCCAGGAGCCAGTGGATATTTTCAAAACGAGTGTGCGCGGCTTCAAGGCGAGCTGGGCCCAGAAACTGGCGACAAGCCTCCAGCGCGGCCTTTTTCTCGAGCCCTGGAGGTCATCAAGGTACCATCCTCCTCGTCCTCCTGGTCGTCGTCCTTGTCGCCGTCGTCATCGTCGTCGCTCTCGTCGGCCTTGGAGAGCAAGCGTGTACTGATACTGTCACCCCACGAATCTCTCCCAGGGTGCGTTCTGACCAACATTTCGAGGCGATTTCACCCGTGGCACCGAAGAAGAGACGAAACCGAGGCACGGGCAAGCGGCATCGGTACCGTTTGCTCCTCTCGCGTCCTCTTCGTCCTTGTCCTCCTACTAGAAGGAGAAAGCTGTATGAACTAACCTTTTGGCACTCCGCGCGGATTTCTGGGATCTGCGCTGGCCCCCCTCCCGGGCGCGAGGGGCGCGCCAGGGGCGGCGCGGCAGGCGCCGCGGGGGAGGCCCAGCGCGGATCCAAGAAACCCGCGCGGAGCGCGGCAAGTTTTTGTCAATATAAGTGTTTCTTCTTGGACTCCTCTCCCCCATCAGCGCATCGGCATCCCCCCCTCTTGTTCGACTCCTCCTCCTCCTCTTCATCGACACCTCTCTCTTCTTCGACTCTTTATTCTTCTTCGACTCCTCTCCTCTCCCCCTTCTTCGACTCGTCTCCTCCTCTCCTTGTTTGGCCGCGGCATCGGCGCCTGTCCAGCACGTGGGCGGAGAAGATGCGCTCCACGGCTCCCGGTGGAGGCCGCTGGCTCCCGGTCGAGCGCTCCTCGCGGGCAGGAGCACGCCGCGGAGTGGGGGGGCCCTGCTCCTGGTCCTCCTCCTCCTCCTTCCTCTTCCTCCTCTTCCTCCTCCTCATCCTTCTCCTCCTCCACCTCCTCCTCCTCCTCCTCGTCCTCCTCCTCCTCCTACTCCCCCTCCTCGTCCTCCTCCTCTTCCTCCTCCTCCTCTTCCTTCTCCTCTCTTCCTCTTCTTCTCTTCTCCTCCTCTCTTCCCCTCCTCCTCCTCCTCCTCCTCCTCCTCGTTCCCCTCCTCTTCCCTTCCTCCTCCTCCTCCTTCTCCTCCTCCTTCTCCTCCTCCTCCTCCTCTTCCTCCTCCTCATCTCCCCCCCCCGCCTCCTCCTGCTTCTCCTCCCCTCCCCCCTCCTCCTCCTCCTCCTCCTCCTCCTCCTCCTCCTCCTCCTAATCCTCCTAATCCTCCTCCTCCTCCTCCTCCTCCTCTCCTCCTCCTCCTCCTCCTCCTCCTCCTCCTCCTCCTCCTCCTCTCCCCCTGCTCCTCCTGCTCGTTGGCCTGCGTTTTCCCAAGGTTTTCGTGGGGCCTCCTGTGTGTGAGAGAGAGGGGCCTCCGTGGGGGGGGGGGGGGCGCAAGCTCACCGGCTTGAGCGTTCCTCGGTGGCGGGAGCGCTCCAAGGAGGGGGGAGCGAAGATAGGGGAAGGGTAAGCTAGGTGTGCTCGCGCCAGATCTGCCATCCAGCCCCATTCAACCAATCCCTTCCCATTGCGCTGACTGGTCCTCTATTCGCCAACGGGTGTCAGAAGCGGATCAGGAACCCCGGAAATAACCCCATTTGTGTCATGCGCAATCACCAACATCAGAAATGGAGAGCTGCGTCTGTTGGGGGAGGAGGTGGCGGAAGAGCAAGACGATGAGCAGGAGGAATGGGAGGTTGAGGAACGAGAGGGACGAGGGGAAACAGCAGCACCCGCAGCAACAGGAGCGGGAGAGGCGGGAGGAGCAGGACGACCGGAGCAAGGAGGGGAAGGGGAAAGGAGCGGGGCAACAGCTATGACGAACAACTCGGACCCAGAAGCGTGGCACGCACTGCGGCGAGAGTGCCATTCTGAACGGCGAGGGCAAACCGCCGATCCTAAAATGAGGCCAGCGCTGCAGCGTCAGCACCATATTGGGACACCGAGAACGTTCGAATGACCAAAACATGAGCAATATCAACATGAACCGCTGCGTTTAAACAAGAGGAGCGGGGTATCTTCCTCACAGAGTCAGGGGGAAGGGAGAGCAGCGTCCGTATTGAGCAAGTGTAACGCGGGGGGGGAGGTGGGACGAAGCGAGGAGGAGTGCATGAAGGAGCCTGGCCTCCAGGCCCGCCGCCAGGAGTACATTCTTAAATGATTCGCGATAGCGTCCATTACTGGCCCCGCCCCCCCCCCTCGCCCCCACGGGTAGCATCACGAAACGCGCCAGCACCATCTGGGAACTAGCCATTCTCAGGCATTCCCCGCTGGTCTTCGCCTCCGAGGCCGAGGGGTAACGATGAGGGTTGGGGGCCAGCTCCGAGGGGGGAGAAGCATCGACCTGGAGTCGGCGATGCATCGCCGACGGATCCGCGATAAGCCCTCGATAGCGAGTCCGCACGTTCCTGGGCGCGGCGAGCTATCATCAGGTCGGGCCTGTCCTCCTACAGGCGAATTTTGGGCGAAAAATCAAAAATATTGAAAAGATGCCCAGACATAAGCAACAGAAATGCAAAACATAGTCCCCACACTTTGCTTTACTATTGCTATTTTTGAATACTCCTCCTGTAGAGGGACAGGCCCGACTTCAGGCTATCAGGCCCCTGTCTGACTACCTACCAGACCACCCCAACCCAACCCGAAGACTCGAATTTGACCCGAATTTCGGATTGGGGGGGGTACGGGTTCCATGTGTTTTTCAATGTTCCCCGACCCCCCCCCCACTAGACATGGAGGGAGACTTTTGAGGCCTTCGGGTTGGGTTGGGGTCGTCTGGTGGGTGGTGACTGTCGGCGGCGATCGCCTTGGGCGGTGGGGAGTCGGTGCATCTCCGCCCCGAGCCCGTGCCTCCCTGGTGCTGCCCCAGAGAGGTGGCGGGCAGAGCCGGAGGAGGGAAACAGGAAGGGGGAAAGGGGGAAGAAGAGGAGAAGGGGGAGGAGGAGGAGAAGGGGGAGGAGGAGGAGGGGAGGAGGAGGAGGAGGGGGAGGAGGAGGAGGAGGAGGAGAAGGGGGAGGACGAGGAGGAGGAGGAGGGGGGGGAGGAGGAGGGGAGGAGGTGGTGGAAGGGGGAGGAGCCAACGGTGGGGGCGACAGGGTGGGAGAAGGATTGAGAGGGTGACGAAAGGAAGAGAAAGAGGCGAGGGAACTAGGAGGAAGAGGAGGGAGCAGGAAGGTTGACGGGAATGGAGGAGGGAGGAGAAGAAACATCAGCATAAGGAGGGCGCGCGGGGAACAAGGAGGAGGCCTTCCCTGGACGCTAGTTCGGCGCTATCTCATCACTTGGACACGCTAATCGACGCTAGTCGATGCTAAAAACAGATTTGCGAGGGTATACAAAGCTCCCATGATTTGCTACCGAAGGAGACTCTCAGCCGGTCAAACTGAGGAACATTCGAAAACACCCTGCACCAGGGTGCACCAGAGCAACCAACAAGCACGAAGAACACTGGGGTGCCCTCCCTGATCCGACCTCGATGTCATACCTAGGTACGGCAGGTCCGTGTCGTGCCGACTTCGGCGTTGGTTTCTGACACCGCGGGGATCGTTCAGCCTTGAACGATCGGCCGTTTCCGAAACGTCCAAATCGTTCCACATCGAACGATTCTGGGTCGCCCGCGGCGTTCAAAGTTGGACGCCGCTGGCGGGGTCGCCGCCGGTCGACACGACACGAACCTACCGTACGCCCGTAGATGGGGTCGGGGATTCGCGGCCCATCGCCAGTGCATCGCCGATGAATCGGCGGTGCGTCGGCGACGCCGGCGTGGACAAGATCGGGCCCCCCCCCGAGCCGCATCGTGGCAATGCGATCCTCCGGCCCCATCTACTTCGAAGCCAGTTGGGCGGCCTGGAGAGTCAGTGAAGTCGCCACTTCATCGCCATCGTTCGCGTCGCCGTTGCCTCCCCGTCCTCCTGCCCTCACCCGTCACCACCACCGTCCTCCCCAGGGGCAGATATGTTCGCGCTGAGCGCTTCGGAGTACCATCGCGCCCTCGCGCCGCCCCAGCCCCTGGGGGTGAAGATGAATAGGTGGCGGCATCCGAGCCCTGCCTCCACAGACCATCGATTCTCCCGAATCGATGAGAGGCGGGGACAGGGTTCGGATTTCGCAACGTGCTCGACGATTTCCGAACCCTACCCCCGCCAGCCATCGAGTTCTCTGAATCGTTGATCGGCGAGAATGGAGTTCGGACTTGTGACGCCGACTGAGGACGAGGAGGATGAGGATGAGAGATCGCGAACCGCAAGCCGCGAATACAGTCGGCCCGTATCGGAACGATAAGGATGAGCGCCCATCCCGAAGCTTTTCGAGCGCGGCGCGGCGAAGGAAACTGGCCAAGGCTAGACCGGGGAGGCAAGGATGCAAGGGTACCCTCGGGAACGCTGCCCATCTTTTCTGCGCGGAACGGCAGTACACGTCGGTCGGAAGAAGTAGGCAAAAGCATGAAGTAGGAAGGCGGATGAAGTGGATTGCGTCCAGGCCCTCCCAGAGAACAACAAAACACAGCCCAACCATGCCGACTCTTGAAGTAGGAAGGCGCTCGAAGTAGATTGGGACTTGGGGATCCAAGAATACCTGCTTTCAACGACCGGCGTGTGACCTCGCGCCCTCCCGGCGGGCGTTGCCGCTCGCGCGCTTCGCCACAGCCAGCAGCGCAGGGCGCGGGGCAGCGCAGCTCAACCGAGGACCAGCAGCCTCTGCCCGCCGCCTTCCGCTCTGCAGCTGCGGTGCCCGGCCCCATCCGCCCTGCGGACCCCTCCGCGCCCAAACCCTCATTGCTGGGCCTGTTTTCCACCACCACCAGCATAAGTAGGAGGGGGAGGGGCCCCTCCTCCTCCTCCTCCTCCTCCTCTCCGCTCTACGCTGCCAAGCGATCCATCCCGTGAACACAAGATGCCCGCGCACACAAACTGAGCTCACGCCTGCTGACTCCCCCCCGCAAAGGCACTGGAACCGCAGCCTCGCCCTTCGGTGAGCACGGGTTCTTGCCCTGCCTCAGGAGGCGCAGGGCTCTCGCCCTCCATTCACCCGCGACACGGTCGGTGCACCTCACACCTAAGTCTTTGACCTGATGCTGGGCATACACCCCGCACGCGGCACACCAAAAAAGGGGCCCATTGGCCCAAAGGCGGTGGGTGGGGTGGGCCTTCGACAGGACCACGGGGACCCCAGGGCACGGCAGCTGCACCACCCGAGAGTGGGAGACCCGCCCGATCCCGCAACCCCACCCACCAGGAACCTGTGAAATCTGGTGACCCTTATCATCTGGAACAATCTCAAGCAGGGGGGCCTCTGAATTCACAAGCGTCCTCTGCCTACGTTCCTTGATGGCTTCCACGTCAGGGTACCCCAACCTGTGCACAAACTTCATCACCTCCGTCAAACACCTGGCCAGGAGAGTCACCTGATCCCGATGGTACCTGATCCTATCTCTCACGTGGAAGTTCATCGGGTGCGCCTTGGCACCCTTCTTGACCCACTCGTCGGCGAGCCTATTGCCATGAAAAAAGTGAGGCGGGACTCCGTGGTCGAGGGCCGCTCGCCGCGACAGGTGCGCGGTGATCTTCGTAACCTGGACGTTCTCCTTCCCCCCGTCCTCGACCCTCCTCCAAATCTGCCTCCACAGTTCAGCATACGCCTTATTTGGGTAAGTAGCGCTTGCCTCCCCAGCCTCCCACCCATCAACAACCATCTTGCAGTCCGTGGCTATCGTAATCGTCGGCCCCATGAACACAAGGGCCATGTAAAAGGCATACAATTCAGAACTTGGAACGTCCTGTACTGGGAGAGGCGACGGTCCATACGCGATCGCCTCAACTTCCAGCAGCGGCGACACTGATACTATAGCCCATCCTGCTCTGACTAGCCACCTGCATTCGTTGTCGTATCCTGACCCATCAACACAAACAAATGGCCCCAGGATTCCGTGCCGATGAGGAGGATGGGCCCACTTGAGCTCTGCACCGTGTAAAATCTTCGGAATGCTGCTGCGGTCGTTGCTCGCCAAAGCCCGCGTCCACCTAAAATCAGCCTGAGCCTCCTTGCCCTCCTTCAGGAGCTTGCCCCCGGACCACTGCCCCAGCGGGGCCAAACACTCCACTCCATCCCCTGGCTGCGTCTTTCTTGGCCTTGTTGAAGGCCGTCTGCATCTGCGCCTCCGTTGACCACTGCATAAAAATCGCCTTTGTCCACATCATGAGCGGCAAGGCGTGCCAGGAAAGACGGGCCAACCTGCGGCACCTCTGCCAGGAAAAACTGCCGCCACCAGAATACACTTCCCTGGAAACCCTCAGTAGACCAGTGCTTTCTCCACGAACAAGCTGTCCCCAAGGCCTGGATGGTGGAATCGTCTACCATGAGCGCCAGCCCCAAAACGGGGCCTTTTGTCCATAAAATCATCGCATACGTCCTTTAGGACTATCTTCAGCAGCGTCGTCGCGAAAGAGCAACCTGCCACTATGCTGCTGTTGACTGAAAAGGGAAGGGATAAGGCCTCGCCAACCTTGATGCTGCGCGGGCCACCGTAGACTAGGAGGAACACTCGTATACGCCTGATGCTGAAGCCATGCTTAGCGCACGATCTGACCAGGAGCTGGTGCGTCACTCGCTCATACGCTTTCTCTGAATCGATCAGAGTGGAGGCGCTGAAAAACTTGCCTCCTCCTCCTCCTCCTCCTCCACCTCCTTACCCCCTCCAACTGGTGGTGTTGGTGGTGGAAAACAGGCCCAACCCTCATGCCGATCCACACATCCGATGACCCGACTTGTTCCACAGGGACTCCGCGGAAGTCCTGAGCCGTCCCCCACGGCACCTTTTTGAAGGGGCCAAGGGACACACAAATAAATACACACAAACAAAAAGATTCTCCATATTTTGCCGTATGTTCGGAGTTGTTGTCTTCCCCACACTTCCCATCTTTTCCTATATTTTCCAAGGAGTCGACGATTAATTGTGTTTGTGTGTTTTCCCCTCTGAATAAATCCGCTGACCCGACTTGTTCCACACGGGCTCCGCGGAAGTCTCGAACCTTCCCCCAGGGCACCTCTTGACGGTCCTGGGGCCCGGCGAGGAGCCCCGCGGCCAAGAACTGCCAACACAAAAACCCATCGTGATCCGGTCCACGACGCGAGCAGGGGAGCAAGAACTCGGCCACCGTGGCATGCAGCCCGTGCAAAACACAAAACGATGTTGGGCAACTCCGAGGCGATCCTGCACCTACTCCATGAACAGATCCAGGGGGGAACTGGGAAGGAGGTTCCTTCTTGCTGACGCGGGTTGCCTGCACCCTTCGAAAGTCAAGCTTTGCCTTGCCACCTCGTCCTCCTTTTCATCCTCGTCCTCCATCCAGTCCTCATCCTCCGCGTTTTCATCCTCGTCCTCCTCCTCCTCCTCCTCCTCCTCCTCCTCCTCCTCTCCGTCGTCCTCATGCTCGTCATCGTCCTGCTCCTCGCGTTCATCAACTAAAAGACATGTGACTTCACCTCCTCACCCGACAGTGGGGCACACAGGATGTCTAGCGCTTTCCGCGCCCGTAGGAGGTCCCAGAGGAAAGTCTCTCTTCAGTAAGGCCTCCGCAACCGTCGTCTGCACGTCCACAGCCTTCGTCATTGTCCCCCCCTTCCAGGAGAGCCCATAATCGAATCGATAAGTGGAATCGGGGGTCGACATGAATCGTATCGGCGAAAATCGGCAGCCAGGTCGGGAGAAAACGATCGGCGGAATCATCGGCGGACTGGTAAGGCCTCCATTGAAAACCTTGCGTCAGACCCGGAAGCCGAAGTCGAATCGAATCGGAACCAGGATCGATCGAGATCGGATCGAATCGAATCGGCATCGAATCGGATCGAGTCGAATCGAGGATCGAGAACGAGATCGAGATCGGATCGAGTCGAATCGATCGAGAGTCGGCATGGGCCCTGTCGAGAATCGGCATAGGCCGTCGCCTGCGCAATACCTCCCACAGTCGACAGGCTCCCAGAAGTGCGCCTCGAGGCGTTCAGGAAGACCCGCTCCCGAGGCCCACGCCGAGGCATCCAGAAGCCCGTGCATGGGGGTGGGGCCATACCCACCGGACGTTGAAAGTGGGAATTTCTGGATTCCCAGATTCCAATCTACTGTAAGCGCCTTCCTAACTTCAGTGATCGCGTGGCTTCACCTGCTCTGTCCTCCTCAGGGGGAGGGCGGCAACCCCTTCTGCTTTCAACGCCTTCCCACTTTATGGTTCTACCTGCTTCTTCCGACCGACGGGCACGGGGTGTGACCCGGCCAGCCTGGCTCCGATGGCAACAGACCCGACCGGGCGGCGACATCCGAGCCTTTGCGGCTGGCATCGCAAAGACAGCTTTTGCAACACCGGTCGATCTCTGGAAAGAGCGCGCGCCATCGACAAAAACAACGAGGCTTTCTCGTGCAGACGATCCCTGCGCGGTGAGCCCGCTCCCCTGCGAGGGCCCCTCATGTGCACGGCACCACCCTGCCAGGGCTTTCTCCGTGCACGCGATCCCCAGGGTGCGCGAGAAAGCCTCGTAGGCCATCTTTGCTAAGCCAGGGTACGCGTGCCAGCGTTTCACAAGCTGGCCAGAGGCGCTACATCGCAGGCCATCTTTGCAACGTGCCAACCGTACCTCCACCAGCAATCGATTCTCCTGAATCGATAGGGGGGGCGGGGATAGGGCTTGGAGTTCGCCACGCGTTCGACGAAGTCCGAACACTACCCCCGCCGTCCATCGAGCTGCCTGAATCGGTGGTCGGTGAGGGTGGAGTTCGGATTTCGCCGCCGACCCATGCGATTAGGGGATGTGATCCTGTGGTGCAGAGCCCAATCACGCGAGACCCTGAGGACTGAGAACCAAGGGGGACCGAAGGAAAGTTCAAAGATTCCGGCTTTAAAGAATACAATCGCGGAATTTGTGTGTGTGTGTGTCCGTGTGTATATGTATGTGCTGGTGATCAAATGAAGGAGGATACATGCATACATTGCGAACAAGAAAAAACACGACTAAGACAACAAAAGCCTTCCAATGCTATGGCACCTTGGAAGGAACGCAAGCGGGACTTGCGCTTCATGGACAGGTCGCTAGAACGCATCGCGTGAACCGTGTGCGGAAACGGGAGCGCCTTGGCTTCCAAGACGCTTCACGATGCAGCAGCGCCCCGTGCTGGAACTATGATCTGTCACATGTGGGAGCAACGCTTCATGGGCAAAGTGTGGGGGAACTATTGAAGGGGCCCTGGGACACGCAAATGAATAGACACAAATAAGAGGATGTCCCACATGTTCCCATATTTTCTGGGCGTTTGTCTTCCCCCCCCACTTCCCACGCTTCCCCAAACTTTCTGGGAAATCGGCGATTCACTGTGTCTGTGTGTTCTTCTCCCTCCTGAACTGTTCACGGGGTATCGCAGTCAAGCCTCAGGCGGGCGCCACGCTCCGTGCGGCAATGACAAGAGCAGCAGCAAGCAACATTGGAGGGGGCCCTGGGGCACGCAAGTAAATACACACAAATAAAAAGATCCCCCATTGTTTCCCATATGTTTGGGGTTTTCGTCTTCCCCTCCACTGTCCCATATTTTCCCATATTTTCCGGGGAATCGACGATTAATGGTGTGCGTGTTTCTGTTCCCTCCTGAATGACAAAACCAGCTGCGAGCAACATGTACAGATGCAGGCGAGCGGCGCGCTCCTGGGGTACATTGCGAGGAAGCGCCATGCTGGAACCGAGGTCACTGGGTATTGCGGGGGGGGCTCAATGGGGAGAAACACTCGAGTGGGAGATTGCGAGGACGCCCCTGACGGAAACTCCTGAAGCCCCAGGCAGGAAGCAGCCGGTGGGAGCCACAGCTTGCGAGGAAGCCTCGGGCGGGAGCCACTCCCTCGAAAGCAACGCAAGAGACACAGAGGGAAGTCTTGCGGTCGGAAGTGCGGACTGCTTACGCGTCCAGCGTTCGGTGGCCACCGTGAGCGTCGAAGCAATCGAACACGGCATGCACGTGTGATGCCTCGCGGCGCAGCATGACTGAAACACAGTGGCGGAGCCGCGCGGCAACGCATCTGGAAGGCATCTGTTTTTCTGTCGACCACAGCGCAACACAATCAGATGCCATGGGTCAGCGCGAATGCTGATACATACGCAAAGACACAACTGTGAAAGGCTGTCCTGCAAACGTGGCCGAGCCTCCGTCGCAAAATCTGCTACGAAGCGAGAAGTCGCGATCAGACTACCAAGAGGTGGAGGAGGAGGAGGAGGAAGAGGAACAGGAGGAAGAGAAGGACGACATCGGCATGCGGCACTGTAAACAGGGCGTCTGAGCCTGACTCGTGTGAAGAGGCCTGATTGGTGTGTGCGTGTGATGACATTTCAGCATGCGGCGCGAAAAGGGCGAACAAGCTATCTTCATCAGATACCTCTGTATCGCTCGGGCCTGAACACTGACCCTCCTGACCGGGCTCCACGGACATTGTGACTCGGAAATCAAGGAAGAAACCTTCGGCAGGATCCGACCACCTGTTGATCTGCATGTGCACTCCGAGTGGCAGCCTCAAGTGCACACAATGAAAAGGCAAGTTCCAACGATCAGGCTGCAGGAGTTGCCCTGTGCTGTCCGCCACCACTTGGATCGAGTTGTCCTCGTTCGACCAAGCGTCTGGGAAACCAGGGATGATCTCTACATCCTTGTGGCCTGAATGCCATGATGCCTCGGTCGCCGTAATGTGGAGGGCCTGCCCATCCCAAAAGGGGCTCGCCAAGGCGAGCTCCTTGACGACGATGAGGTCTGCAACATTGTTCAAGAACCCAGTGGTGGCCTGTATCTGAACTGCCCCGCTTTTGACAATCCAATGCTCGCCAATCTTATGAAAACTCCCGTTGATGTTGTTCTCGCCGCCGAAAAATTCCTCGGGCGCAGCAAGACATGCCTCGTCGGTGACGACGCCCTGCCGTCACGACACCCTTCGGTCACGCCCACCCCGCCCGCCCCCCCAAAATAATGGCATCAGACGGCCCAAGGGTGGATGGTCTGGAGGATGGGCAGAGAGAAGAGGCTTGAAACGGGGATCCCGAACGAGGACATCCTTCCCAAACTCCTCCCATGTTCCGCTCCCTCTCGTTCATGCGCCCCCCACCCACCCCACCCACGAGCCTGCAATAACCTTCAGTTCGGGCACAGCACCTCTGGCCAAGCCACCGCCCCCCACCGCCCCCCTCTTGTCCAGTCTGCCTCCCCCGAAGGGCGCACACCCCATCCCATCGCCCCCTCTACGTGGGCAGCACGGAGGAGACAGATGAGGGGAGGGAGGCGCGGGACATGAGGAGGGAGACCAGAGTAGACGAAGAGTGGGGAGATGCAGCGTGTATCGGCGCGGGCCGTGGGGGGAAGTGAGAGGGGGCGTGACGTCTCGCGAGGATCGGAAATCCCCCGGACTTCTGAAAAGTTTCCCTAGCCCCCCGCAGACACAGAACACTTCCTCAGAAGGCGCGAGGGCTTCTGGGAATCCCCGCCGACTTCTGGGAAAGTCTTCTCCCTCTCACTCCCCGCCTCCCTCGCCGCCGAGTTTAGGCGTAAGTCGGGCCTGTCCCTCTATAGGAGGAATACCCAACAATAGTTAACAATAGCCTGGGGACAACTTTTTGACTACTTTTGACAATTTTTGGAGTATGGTTTGAATATTCTTTTTTTCGCCCAAAATCCCCCTGCAGGGGAACAGGCCCGACCTAAATTTGGGCCGTCCCTGAGGTCCACGTGCTCGTTGCCGTAGACGACACAGCTCGTCGGAGCCGGGGCCTGGTGGGAACACGCGTGTCAATCTACAGCAGGGCAGGCCACCCCAACCCGACCCAACCCGAAGACCCGAATTCGACCCGAATTTCGGGTTGGGGGGGACGGGTTCGATGTGTTTGTGTCAATGTTCCCCGACCCCCTCCCACTGGAAATGGATGGCAAATTGAGGCCTTCGGGTTGGGTTGGGGGTGGTTTGGTGAGGGGTGGCGATCTACAGCAGCGCAGATACTTGTACCTCGCGCCGCTGCCCACGGCCCCTGACCCGGGAGCCGAAGAAAAAGCGAACACGCAGCAGCAGGATGACCAGAGCGAGGAGGTCAGTCGGGAGCGGGAGATGCCCGATGCGCAAGTGCGCAGGGCGGGGCCCGGTCTTCTCCATGGAGGAGGACTCTTACCAGCCTCGAACGTATCCCTATCCCTAAGATTGCCACGCCAGAAGGCGATGACAATCTTAGGGATTCGCCTTCAAACAAGACGGGAATCCCTAAGATTGGCATCGTGATGAGGAGGTGCCCAGCATAGGGATAGGGATACGTTCCAGGCTGGTAAGACTCGTCGGCACGCCTGCTCTGCAAGACGACACAAGCAAGAAGACCGCTGAACACATGAGGCCAGCAGGGGAGCAACCGTGGCCCTCTCTGGGCGCGAGGGAGCCCCACCTTCTTTCTGGAGGGGCCCTGAGACACACAAGTAAATACACACAAATACAAGGGTTCCCCATATCTCCCCACATGTTCGGGTTTTTGTTGTCTTTCCCCCCCACTTCCCATATTTTTCCATATTTTTGGGGAATCGACGATTAATTGTGTCTGTGTGTTTTTTCCCCTCCTGACTTTCAATCTATTGAGGTTCGCCTGGGGGTGCCCACTCGTGGCCCCCCCCCCACGAGGAACCGATCAGTCAGATGTCCAAGCCTCCCCACGTCGAGCATTGGTGAGGGGGGGGGGCAGGAGCAGGAGGGATGGGGGATGGGCAGGGAGCAGAGGGACCACGGGACGGAGGGAGCACGGGAGGGGAGGGAGGGAGGGAAGGCAGGGCAGGAGGGAGGGAAGAGAGAGAGGGAGGGAAGAGAGAGGGAGGGCGAAGAGGAGATGGGAGCAGCGAGGCGAGGGAGACGAGGGGCAGCGGTGGAGCGGAGCGGCACCCACCACGAGCGTGGCCCTGGAAGGCCCCGCGGACCGACCGACCACACGCACGCACACGCACGCACGCACGCGCGCACGCACGCACGCGCGCGCGCACGCACGCACGCACGCACGCGCACGCGCACGCGCACGCACGCCGCCCTCGCGCCGGACCCGGCGCCGGCCGGCCCCGGGCACGGGGTTTGTGAGGCCCCGGCGCCTGGGAGCGGTTGTCCGCGGCGTGGGCCTCCTGCGGGTCGTCGGCCTCCGCAGCAGGAGGAGGAAAGCAACGGCAGGGGCATAGAGTAGGAGCCTGTTCTTCTTTAGACCCAGGCAAGCTTACTTGCATGGCGTTCGCCCCCCCCCCTCCCCCCCCCTCCTCTCTCCCCCTCGCCCCTCTTCAATCGAACACGAGCGTGCAAGTGCCTTTCGACTTGCGTGATTTCCCCACGTCGAATTGTTTTCGGCTTGCTTCAGACTCAGCCCCCCCCCCCCGTCCATGCAAGTAAACTTGCCCGAATCCAAAGAAAAACAGGTACTAGGGGTCTTGAAGAAGGAACCCTTTTCGTTGGGGAGGGGCTCCGTGTGCCTTGATTTTTCTGCAGCTTGCCTCAGGTTTTCCCAAAAGGTTTTCGACGGGGGATCGAAGATCAACTTGTGGGAGAGGAGGGGCCTCGTTCCTTATTTAGGGTAGGGTTCCTTACCTCAACGCCCCGACTGTAAGCTTTGGGCGCTCCGCGGGGGCTTCTTGGATCCGCGCTGAAGCCCCCTCCCCGGCGCGCGGCGCGCGCACAGGGCGGCGCGCCGGAGGCGCCGCCAGGGAGGGGGGGGGCTCAGCTTAGGTTGTCCCCATCGCACCTAAGGATCACATGCCAGAAACAATTTTTCGGGCACCCAGGAAAGCATCGAAACGGAATCGAACGAGTATCGCCTCCCAGGGCCAGACACGCGCGAAAACCCGGTCGAGTTTCGATACTTTCTTGGTGCTCGAAATTCCTTCTGGCGATCCCAAAGTTAGGTTGGCACACCGTGAGGCTCAGCGCGGATCTGAGAAATCTGCGCGGAGCGCCAAGCGTTTATGTTTCAGTCGGGTCTGTCCCTCTACAGGGGGAACATTCAAGAATAGACAAAACAATTGTCAGGGGGCTATTGTTTGACTAACTATGTTTGAGCACGTTTGGTGCATATGTTTGGGGTGTTTTTTTGAATTTGTCGCCCGAAATCCCCCTGGAGGGCCGGGCCGGGCGAAAGGGGGGAATAGCAAAGGGGGGGTTGAGACTCAGCTCAGGTAGCTGACTTTCCCAGCGCCTGCACGCGCCGGGAGGCGCCCATGTATCGAGGAATGGGCCCGGCGGCGGGGCCGAAACTAGCTGCATGCCGGAGATTTCGTACCCCCCCCTTTCCCAATCCCCCCCTTTCGTCCGGCCCACTAGGGGGACAGGCTCGACTCAAGTTCATGTGTTATGTCCATGGCGCGTGCTCTTCCTTCGGCGCAGGCCGGGCCTCCAGCGGGTCGGCCTCCTCCCGCGGGTCGGCCTCCGAGGGCTGGGCCTCCAGATGCGCAGCCAAGGAAGCACCCCGAACCTTAGGTCGGGCCTGTCCCCCCACAGGGGAAGTTTGGACGAACCAAAAAATAGTCAAAGAATACTGGAAAATGCAACACAACAGTCAAACAATCGTCCCCATGCTATGTTTTGAGTATTTTTGAATACTCCCCCTGCAGAGGGACAGGCCCGACTTGACCCTAACCCTGTGGGAGGGGGCCCCAGCCAGGAGGGCCCAGCGCATCGGGGACGGGGGGTCGCTCCTGCGGCTGTGTCGAGCCAGCGCGCCCCGATCTGTTACCCCCTCGTGCAGAGGCGGGGGCCTCGGTGAGGCCACGTCTCCATCGTGCTGTCGCTCGGGCTCAGGTCGGGCGTGTCCTCCCCCCGACGGATGTTGCCCGAGAAACGCGACATAGCCAAAAACAGATCGAGCAAAGACATGTGAAACACTCGGACACAACCGTCCCCAGCCAGACTATTTCGTTGAGCACTTGTGCGCACTCCTCCTGTAGAGTCGACTCGACATTAGGGTTAGGTCGGGCCTGTCCCCCTGCAGGGGGGAATTTTGAGCGAAAATGATACAGACTCCAACACATACTCCCAACATCCTCGAACGATACTCGAAGAAACTCGCCCCCAGACTGTTGGCGGACTGTGTTTGCATGCCCCTCCTGCAGAGGGACACGCCCGACTTACGTCGGCCGTGTCCCTCTGCAGGAGGGGGAGGAGGAGGAGGAGGAGGAGGAGGAGGAGGAGGAGCCAGGAGGAGGAGGAGGAGGGAGGAGGAGGAGGAGGAGGAGGAGGAGGAGGAGGAGGAGGGGGGAGGAGGAGGAGGAGGGGGAGAGGAGGAGGAGGAGGAGGAGGAGGAGGAGGAGGAGGAGGGCCCGGGGCTCCGTCGGCCTCTGGCGAGCCGTCGGCCCCCGGCGGGGCGACCTCTGGCGCGTCGGCCTCCAGCGGGGCGCCGGCCGCGGCCACGGCCCGCACGGCGGCCTCGGGCGAGGCGGCGGCGGGCGCTCCGCGGCGCGCCTGGGCGGCCGCCGCGGGCGCGAGCGCGGCGGCGGCCGCCGCCAGCGCCGCCAGGGCCGCCTTGGGCGCTCCGAGCGTCGCCGTGCTGGTGCTCCGCCCTCCTCCTCCTCCTCCTCCTCCTCCTCTCCTCCTCCTCCTCCTCCTGCCTCCTCCTCCTCCACCTCCTCCTCCTCTTCCTGCTCCTCCTCCTCCTCCTCCTCCTCCTCCTCCTCCTTTTCCTCGTCATCCTCATTCTCCTCCCTTCCGTAGCCATTTTGGCTCAAGCCATTTTGGCTCAAGTAAACCATTTCTCGAGGTGGTTTGCAGAGACCAGGAGCCTGCCCAGCAGGCTCGGCCCGCGCATCAGGGGCCTGCTGGGCAAGGCAGGCGCCCTCACATATTGTATACGCTCCAGGAGCTCCTGTATCGTACTGGTTGGGCAGGAGGTCAGTTCTTCACGGCGCGCATGGGGCGCAATGAGAGGGATGATCAGCGGACTGGAAGCCAGTACGAGAAGTGCAGGGGATGCGGGTATAAGTGGAACTGGGGCACCAGGTCTGAGTGCTACAAGTGCCAGAGGGGAATGCAGCCAGCCACCTCTCAAGAGCGAGCTTCGCAGGGCATCTGGGGCCCCAGCGCCTCTTCGCGGGGCCGCAGCCGCCCATCGGCCAAGCAGAACCGCGAGGAGCTCCTCAAGCAGCTGCGGGCCACTATCCCCGACGGCGGCGCAGAGGCAGCCCAGCACCTCGAGGCGCTCGCCCGAGTGCGCACTCCAGAGGTGCACCCAGACGTTGTCCTCAACCAGGCCCAGGCGCGGCTCCGCAGGGCCGAGGCAGGGCTCAAGAGGACCATCGACAACATCTCAGAGGGCGAGCGGTTCCTGCAGGACCAGAAGGAGCTGCGGGAGAACTGGATCCACGAGATCGCCGACGCGGAGGCGGTGGTCCAGGAGGCCCACGCCAGAGCAGCGCCCAAGGCCGTCGCGCCAGCCGAGGCGCCCGCGCCAGCCCTGGACCTCTCGCAGCTGCTCGAGGGCGACCTGGACATCCTCAGCGCGCGGCCGGGCAAGGCCTTCGACCTCCAGGGGCTCGACATCCCGCCTGAGGAGCACCGCCAGTTCGAGGAGCAGATGGGCCAATTCGTCAAGCAGGTCCAGACGGAGGTCAAGAGGCACTTCGGCCCAACGGCGGAGGGGCTCGCCGCAATGCGAGCGGACCTCCAGGCCTTCAGCGACAGGCTCAGAAGCAAGAGGGCTCGGTCGGAGCCCCCCCCGCCAGAGGCCGCCGCAGCTCCCGCCGCAGCGGCACCACCAAGCAAGACAACAGGCAAAGGTGGCGCAGACTACAAGCAGCCAGGGGCGGCCGCGCCCAAGGCAGCCCCCACAGCGGGGCCAAGCACCCCTCCCCCTGCTGGCGCTGACGGTGCTCGTGGCGCTGCTGCAGCCAGCGGAGGCGGCGCGGCAGGCGCCACTGCTCCTGCGGGAGCCGCGGGCAGGGCCCCCAAGCGCGAGCTGGCACAGGGAGTCCGAGCCAGGATCCTGGAGCGGGCTGCAGGAAAACCCCCAGGGGCGGACACAGACTCCAGCGACTGAGGGACCAGCCCCGCAAGGCTGGCGACGGTGGCGCCAGCGCCCACGCCGCGGTCGGGGCAAGGCGGCCGCGCGAGGACGAGGAGCACCAGCCGTTCCTCACGACATCGACGGGGTCGTGCAGGCCCCCGCCACCTCTACGAGCACTACCACTACAAGGGGGGCGCCTCCTGCGCCCGACCAGAAGGGGCTGCCCCGAAGGGCGGGCAGGCGCTGGCAGCCTGGGCCAAAGCGGGTCGCCTTCATCGTGGGGACGTGCGTCCACGTCCTCGCCATTGAGGAGGGCCTCAACATCTTAGACGGGGACGGCGACAGCTCCTCCTCGAGTACCTGGGCACGGAGGGCGCTCAGGGGAGCGGACGCGCCCCGCCGCCAGCAGCTCCCGCCGTGGCTCCGACGGCTGGGCGACAGCTCAGCCTCGAGCACAGCCACGGACGCCGCGGAAGAGGCCCCAGAGGCGCAGGGGTGGAGAGCCGCAGATGTGCGGGTGGCCGAAGCCTCTCCCCATGCGCCCCTCTCGCTGATGCCGCCGACAGGCGGGTGGTCGAAGCCATCAGCGATGAGCTCGTGGAACAGAGAGCCGCAGACGTGCGGGTGGTCGACGCCTCTCTGCACGGGCGCCCCCAGCTCGGCTCCTCTGACGAGGGGGTGGCCGATGCAGCCCAGCTGGGGAGAGGACTACTGGAGGCCTCGGGCACGGGGCAGAGGGTGGCGCTCCAAGCCTGGCATGGGCGTCAGCTCAGCCACGACTGCGGCCACTGAGGCCTCGGAGGAGGACCCAATGACGCATGGTAGGAGAGCCGCGGGTGCGCGGGTGGTCGATGCCTCTCCGCATGCGCCCCTCTCGCTGATGCCGCCGACAGGCGGGTGGTCGAAGCCTTCAGCGATGAGCTCGGGGAACGGAGAGCCGCAGACGTGCGGGTGGTCGAAGCCTCTCAACCCGAGCGCCCCCAGCTCGGCTCCCCCGACGGGGGGGTGGCCGACGCAGCCCAGCTGGGGAGAGGAATACTGGGACTCCCGACCGCGAGGCAAGGGGCGCAAGGCAAAGCCCGACATGGGCCTCAGCTCAGCCTCGAGCATGGTCACAACCGCCTCGGAAGAGGCCCCAGTGGCGCATGAGTGGAGAGCCGCGGATGCGCGGGTGGCCGAAGCCTCTCCCCATGCGCCCCTCTCGCTGGTGCCGCCGACAGGCGGGTGGTCGAAGCCATCAGCGATGAGCTCGTGGAACCGAGAGCCGCAGACGTGCGGGTGGTCGACGCCTCTCGATACGAGCGCCCCCAGCTCGGCCCCCCCGACGGGGGGGTGGCCGAAGCAGCCCAGCCGGGGAGAGGAACGCTGGAGGCCCAGATCTCGAGGCAAGGGGCGCCACGCCAAGCCTGGCATGGTGCTCAGAGGCCTCAACGGCAGCGCCTGGGATGCCCCCGCTGGGCAAAAACACCATCATGTTGGTGCAGGAGCACTGCCTCACCAGTGACTACGTCGGCGAGATTAGTGCCAGCGGTGCTGCTGCGGTCCTAGACCTAGAGAAGGCGCTCGAGCAGGCCACAGTGCACTTGCTTTGGGCCGAGGAGCCCAAGCGCCAGTTTCGGTTGCAACTTTTGAAGCCTTTAATCTCGGTTTACACGGCCAGGCGCTTTGTTTCCTTCCGCGGCGTGGTGTCGGTGCATTCGACCATCACATTCTCAGCAGTCATTGCGGGTAGCAGCGGGGGCACGAGATGCCTCAAGCTAGCCATCTTGTCAGTCGTAGACGGGCTGGCGCAGGAGCACCCCGCCAGGCCGATGAAGTTTTTTGTCGAGGATTTAAGCATTCAGGCCCGAGGTGCGGAGGCGGATGTCTCGGCCTTGAGACTGGAGGTCCAGACCAGTAGCACGCAGCTCGGAGTCGACTCGGCGGGAGGAGGAGTTGTGTCGCTGCGCACCAGAGGCGATGCCAGGATGGGGAGCGCTAGGCGGCGTAGAAGTAAGTTGTCAAGCATCGGCAAGCAGGGCGCGCGCACATTTCAAGTTGCGCGCATGGGATTTCTCCCCTCTGTGCTGTATGGGGCGGTTTGCCTCGGAATGGACCCGACGCGGCTCACTCGAGCAAGGGCGCTCATGGCCTCGGCGCTGGGCGGGAACGCAATCAGTAAGGACCGACTGCTCCGCCTGTGGACGCTGAGATGCGACCCCCTGGCCGAGGCCTGCACGAATCCGCTGCTCAAATGGGCGGAGGCTATCTTTGCTGGCAGCCATGAGGAGATCATGGTTGCTGGGTGGCGCAGAGCTGTCGCGGCGGCCGCTGCCGCCAAGCCTGGGAGCAACCCCTGGAGGCAGATAGAAGGACCCGCTTCAGCCGTCTGGGCCACACTCAGACTCCTCTCGTGGACGTGGCCTGCCTATCATGTTTTCTTCGATCACCTCGGGCAGCAGTGGGAGTTGCGCAGGGCAGCACCGCAGTGTCTCAAGAAGCTGAGAGGAGCAGCGAGAGCCGCTGTAGCCGAGGATGAGGGCCTCCAAGGGATTGCGCATCGTGCTGTATCCTCCACCTCGGACTCCCTCCTTTTCTCCCGTGGGCTTCACGAGCACCCCCTGGAGGACCCGCAGTCGGATTGTATTTCGGCCCTGGAGGAGGACCCCGATTTTGTTCATCCCCCGCTGGTCTCAGGGTGGGCCTACTCCGACGGATCGGCCAGAGGCCCACCAGGGCTTAAGAGTTTCTGTTGGGGTTACGTTTCCCTAGGCCAGGACGGGGGGGCTGTTAAGGCCATGCGGGGGACCCTCCCAGGGCTGCGTAGCCTAGCCTCCGTCCTGCGTGCCGAGCTGTATGCACTGCTCAAGTTGCTGAATAGCGCCCACCCGCCTCTGAGGGTAGGGGTAGACTACAGTTCAGTCATTCGAGGCCTCCGTAAAGGCCCCAGCGGGTGCTGCAGCCCTAGGAGCTCGACGTGCGGGCGCAAGGCTTTCTCTTGCAAGACCAGGCGCGCGTTGGGGCGCAGGCCCCAGGGCAAGATGAGCGTGGATCGTCGGTGGGGCGTTGAGTTGGGGCGGGGGGTTGGGGAAGGCGTCATCTCTCCAGCCCTCCGCGGTGCGGCCATGGGGCACAAAGTGCACCGCGCGGGCCAGTTTTCTTTCTGCGATCGGTGCGGTGTGTTCTCGAGCGAGAGAGGGTGCAAGCTCGTGGCTGCCTGCGTGTACCGTCTCTCGCTCCTGCGCCGAGGCAAAAATCCTTGTGCAGTGAAGGTCTCCCTGGAGGCAGGGCCGCGCTCCCTGGTACAGGGGAGTGCGCGGCGTTCTGGGAGCGCCTGATGGATTGATCGGGAAGGGGCGGGAAGCACCCCGAGGTGGAGTGCCCGCCCATCCGTCTTACATATGGCGAGCTGAGGCGGGGACCGCCAGGCATCGTTCTTGCAGCAAAACATTATCCTCCCTTCTCCATGCCCTCGTCCCCCCCACGTCCCTCAGACGGGTAAAACAAAAGGCATAAACGTTGTTACCTTTGGGCGCTTCAGGCAGATTTCTTGGATCCGCGCCGGACCCCATTTCCGGGCGCGCGGAGCGCGCCACAAGGGCGGCGCCGGAGGCGCTGCCGGGGGGGGGTGGGGGGCAAGTGCGGATCCAAGAAATCCGCGCGGAACGCCCAACGTGTCTTGTAATTGTGTGTTTGCTTCTTGGATCCCTTCTTCATCCCTCTTCCTTCTAGATAGCCCCTCCTGGACGCAGCCCGAGGCTAGTCGGTTTTGGCGGACCAGACGTTTCGCCGCAGACGTCATCACCACTCATGATCTTGAAGCTTCCGATTTGCAATGGGGTTCACGGCTTGAGGGCGGCCCGTTTTCACAATGTGGCTCTCGCATGAACGCCGCGTGCACTGGTCTTGCACATGTTCCAAAGTTTGACGGATGGAAGGTGGGTGGTTTTGAAAATGTGGCTCTCGCCTTAGCGCCGCGCACATTCGTTTAAAACATGTGCAGAGAATCCCCGAATGGAGGGCGGGTGGTTTCCAAACTCTTGGTATCGACTTGGCGCCGCGGACACTCGTCCTGCAAACATGGAACATGTATGTTCCTTGTTTCAGTGACGCGTCGTTTTGCAACACCCACGCAGCGGCAATGCTCTAAAGTAAGTGGTCGGTCGGGAGAGCGTCACCACATTCAGAGGGAGGAGGAAGAGGAGGAGGAAAAGGAGAGGAGGGGAAGGAGGAAGGAGGATAAATGGACAGACGGATAGCGTAAAACCTGCATGAAAAGCTGCGTACGCTCCTTGGGAGCCCGGGCATCTCCACGGCGACCCCTGCAACATAGAAAACATACATGGGGCGTCCCAAATGTCCGACTACTGGTAGAGGATTGCCCCACTCCACAACATCAGATGCGATACATTCTCAAATCAGCACGGCGGAGAGGAAGGGGGGAGAAGGGAAAGAGGAACAGAAGGAAAGGATTAGGGGGGCAGAAGGAACCTCGCACAGAACATAGACATGCCTCCACATTGAGCCGTCAACGTCCAGTCGTGCCTTGTTCAGCCCAGGGCCTCTACAGTGGCCCTGGCGAACGACCCAACCGCATGCAATTGTCACTACCGCAAAACAAGTGGGACCAAGGAAGGGAACCACTTTATGGGGCCACGGGACGTAGGAGGGATATGCCGGAATGAGCGAAAGGGGAACATGTGGACACCGCCGCGAGGCCTTCGGTGGCTAGGGGCAGGCCACGAAACGCGCAAGGGGCGTGCCGAAATGGGTCGGGGACGACGCATGTGATCACAGCCTCTGGGGCCTTCGATGGAGTTCTTTATGGGGGCACGAAACGCCGTACTGGGTGGTGCCGACGCATGTGGTCACAGCCACTGGGGCCTTCGGTACAGCTCTCCATGGGGCAATGAAGCGCGGTCATGGGTGGCGCGGACGAATGTGGTCACATACACTGGGGCCTTCGGTACACCTACATATGGGGCCACGAAGCGCTGTACTGGGGAGCGCGAGCGCATGTGTTCACAGCCACTGGGGTCTTCCGTGGAGCTCCCCATGGCGCCACGAAACGCTGCACTGGGTGGCGAGGACGCTTGTGGTCACAGCCTCTGGGGCCTTCGGTGGAGCTCCCTGTGGAGCCACGAAGCACTGTACTGGGTGGCGCGGACGCTTGTCACAGCCAGAGGGACCTCTGGAGAAGATCCCTATGAGGACGCGCAGCGATGCAGTGGGTTGCGAGATGGAGGTGGGGGAGGAGGCGGAGGATGATGAGGAGCAGGAGGATAAGGCTGAGAACCAAATGGACCCTAAGAAGGGCAAGTCTGGCGTCTAGCGGCCTTCACCTGCGCTGGCTGCGCCTGGTGGTTCGCCGGGCGGCACAGGCGGAGAGGAACACGCGAAGACGACAGGGACCGGCGGTCGGTCGGGAGGAGAGGAAGGCTGAGCAGCAGCGGGCGGCGGGCCCGCGCCTTGGCTTCCGTGCGGCGAGGCGCCGAGCCGAAGGGCCAGGCGCGCGGCGGCACGGGCTTCATTCAGACGCGCGCAGCTGACCCCGTAGCCGTCGCAGTCGGGGTACAGCACGTGCGTTTCCGTCACGGTGTGGTACATGCGATAAGCCACCGCCAAGCGGGTGTGGACGCGGGAGATGCGGTCGTCCGCGGATGGGGCGACCTCGAAGTTCAAGGCGTGGAGTCCCAGCCTCTCGAGGATGCAGTCGGCGAGCTTGCCGCGCGGGAGCGCCAGAGCGCGCCAATGTGCCAGAGCTTCGGGCACACCCAGTAGCGAGCGACGGCGTCAGCTGCGGGTTCAGGAGTGCATCCGATGATGCAGGAGAGGCGATCAGGGCGAACGTGAAGCCGATGCGACGTAGACCAGCCCCCCGCAAGAGATTTGACCACAGGCCAGCAGCGGGAAGGGGGAAGCAGCGCGAGGTGGGGCTTGGCCTTCTTCAGTGAAGTCTTGACACAAAAAGCAACTGGTAGAGCGCGGTCAGGTCGTTGTACGAGGCAGCGTCGGACTCCATCTGCTCGTCGAAGTGTGCGTCGAATGGGTCGGAAGAACATGCACAACGCCAGCCAGCAACATCCATTGACGCCTGTCGGTGTTCAGAGACCGCCGAGGTCAATCGGGCCCGGCATTCACTCGATCCATGCCATGAGCGCGGGCGCGAGCATGACGGTCCAGGGCTGTTGTCCACTCCGATCGAGCGAATCTTTGTCGCGGCTCTTCGCCACGCCCCAGTCGTCGACGTAGAGGTCGGGGGGCCAACCCGAGGCCCAGCGCGCCAGCATCTCCGCATCTGGCACGATCGGTCTCGGCGTCGTCGGGGGTGGTGGAGGCGGCGAGAAGAGTCGGATACGAGCGGATCGTTGAAAGCGATTCAGGGCGAAGGAGTCGCTGGTCGCCACCCACGGCAGGGTCAGCCCCATCCTGCGCCATGGGAAGGCAAGGGAACCAGGCCTTCAGGCGCTTGACAATTGTGAGGTCGAAGCCGTCTTTGTAGATGTGTTTCTGGATCTCGCTGGGGAACGTGGCTGGCGGAGGTTTCTTTGGGGGCTCGCCGGGGCGTCGTCGGCGGGGAAGGAAAGCTTCGCATGCAGCTGCGCCGCACTTCGGTATGCGCAAAGGAGCTGCAAGCGTGCTCTTTCTGGATTGCGAACATGTTGCTACATGCGCGAATATGGGGCCCTTGTCCATGGGGAAGGTCGAACCAACAGCTGCATCATGGAGATGTTGGGCAGTCGACTTCGAGGAGCGCCAGCAGGAAGGCGTTCATCAGCCTTGCACGTAGTCAATCATGGGGGCGGGGCGGTGACGGCGGCGTCCTTCAGCGTCTCATAAGCAGCGCGCCAAACAGAAATCGCGGCAAAAGCCGCGCGCCAAATGGTGGCACCCAAGAAGGCCCCGACGCCGATGGGAATGTCCGCTCCAGCCCAGAGCTCCATGCTCAGGATGTCCATCTTGGTGAAGGCCGAGGGGGCAGATCGAATGATGTTGTGAAGTGCGTGAACCTCGCGGCTGGGAACAATCTTTGGGGCAGGGAAGGGTTGTCCAACATATGAGGGGGTGGTCAGGGCCGAAGCGCTGGATCGGGGCGTGGGGCCAACCGAGAATGCATGAACGATGAAGCCTCTTCCCCGAGGGCGCCGCCCGGGTGCGCTCGTCGGCGCCAGTGCCCATGCAGACCCCGAGGTGATTGGCGTGGCTGTCGATCTTGGATAGAGCCCAGTCGCTGTGAATTTGTCTGAGTATGTCCCTGATGCTGTTCACCAAGCCGGAGGAGGCAATGGCCCATCCAGACAGGGACCAGAACACATTCGCGCGGTTGGGGGAGCAGGCCAGCGTATTCAGCGGTCGCAGAAAGGCGAGGCCGAAGGCCGACGATGTCGACAAGCCGCGCGAGGACACGCCCCAAGTCGTCCGCGCATGCCGTGGCGATGCCCCGCTTGATGTTCACGAAGAACTGCAGGATGCCGCGCAGCGCGGGGCCGAATGCTAGAGCCCACAACGAGCGACCTAAAAGGTAACCCTAGGCCGCGCCGCTCTCCGCCATGAACAGCGGGCGTCGGGTTTCGCCAAGCTCGAGGATCATGACAGGCATGAAGTACAATGGTTGCACCAGGTTGAAGAGGCGACCATGGGCCCCCCAACGCAGAATGACTTCCCATAGCCAAGCGTGAAGCAATGACGGGAAAGCGGCGGCGATGCCCATGCTCGCGAAGCACGGGCGCTTGCTCTCGGCACCCTGCTGAAGGCCCCACATGCGAGAATAGGTATCAACTTTGACTACGTTGTCCAAGACTTGACGACCAGGAGTAAGTCCGCGTTGGATGGAGGGGCCCTTCTTGAGAAAGGGACGAAACTTTATGTTGGTGGCGGGGTCGATGGTCTTGGCGCCCGTGCTATTCATTGCCAACGGGCGAAGCTGTCCTGGGTCGCGCGCGCACTCGCGCTGTCCAGCAGGTTCACCTCCTTTGGATAGCATTGCCAACATGGCGCGATTGAAAGTGTGCGGCGCGCGGTTGCCGACGCACAGGCGCTGCGCGAGCTCGGCCAGGGACGCGAAACTGTTCGGGGTAGCATTCCAAGCCACGTACGGGGGGCCATCGGGACCAGATGCGGAGTCAGCCGCCAACTCGGCGGGCTGCACCAGATTGCGTTCGTCGGAAATGCCAGCGAGAAAACGACCGAGGACGGGAAAGACATCGTCGAGGTACGTTTTCATGGCGTTCGCGTCGAAGGGCCTGTCCTGGAAGATCGGGGCACGGCGCGCCTGGAAGGCAGAGTGCATGTCCAAAGGGTTGCTGGCCGCCGAAGCGTCGTCACCGCGCGTCACTCGGATGCCGGCATGCACCAGACGCTTCGCGAAGGGTTGCCACAACTCCCCTCGGCAACGCTCGGCGCTGGCTCGTTTCCGCCACCTGCTGCCGCGTGGATGCCCTTGTTCTTGATAAGCTTGACGGGGGGGTTTGGGCAGCCCGAGCGCGTCGTTCTTCGGCCGCAGCAGCACAGGCAACAACGACTCCAGAGGCGGACGGCTGGGGGGCCGACCCGCGCGAGAACAGTGGGGGGCGACGAGGGCGAGCAATCATCTTTGAGGCAGGGGGGCTTGGCGCCGGGGCGGGACTAGCTGATGAGGAAAAAGAGCCAAACGGTGGTCTTGATACCATGCCGCATAAGCAACGCTGCGAATCGCCATGGAGTTCACCTCCCTGGAGACGGCGCCGCGGTCATGGTTCAAGACGCCAGGGTGCAAACAGGACAGGGCGTCGCGCGCAAGGGCAGCAGCAGTGGCCACGTTGGCCGCGAGCGCCTGCCACTTGCCACTCGGGGAGAGCTCGCCACACTGCGCGTTCACAGACAGGTTCTCGATCGCGACGGCGTAGAACTTGGACTTGCAAGTGCAGGAGGGAATGCTGCGTTCTTCTTTTGGCCGTTGGCTGCGAGGGCGCAGACGAGCATGAAGGACTTTGCGGTCGCTCGGAGGGGCGCCAGAGCGTTCCAGCGGGTCACCATTAGCAGCCTTCATGGTCTCGACCAAGGGAACGTTGCGCGGCGCGAAGGAAGCGAAACCTCTGTCAATGCCTGATTCGGAAAGAGTCGCTGGGCATCGATGCGTCGTGGATGTCGTGGTGATACCCGTCATCTGTCTGAAGACATGCTTCCAAAACGTGGGCTCGTGCTGATAGCGATCGCATGCTCTCGCATCCACGGGGCGAGTCAAGTTGCGCGCAGGAAGCTCAGAGATGTTGAAGTCACCCGTCGAAAGGGACAGAACATGGCCAGGGTCGGCACTGGCCTTGCGCAGAGCCCCCGTGCAGGTGTTCTCGATGGCCGCGCGGTCGACGGGGGTCAGCTCGAAGTTGCGTGTGTTCAGGAAGATATGCGCGCACTGATTGGCGACGTCGGTGGCGCGAAAGAGAGCCGCCCGTCCAGGAACGCCCGATGCGAAGGCGAGCCCGGGTTCGGCGCGCTGATCGGGATCGCTCGCCTTGGGGAAATACCGAGGTACCAGGAAGGCCGCGCCACCAGCGTTGGGACTGCCGGGGGTAGCACTGTGATGTACCAGGTACTTGACAGACGCAAAAATGGCAAATCTGGTGCAGGGCGACCTGAGAGCCGTGCGTCTCATGCAGGAGACTGAAGGACTGCTTCTTGCGGTACGGGAAAAAGACGCGGCGCTTGATGTCGCACCTGCGAGGGGCAGAATGGAGCAAGGCCTGGGCGCCCCAGCTGATGACCGCGGCATTTGGGCGCGAGGAGTCGTCCAGCCACGCTGTTCAACGAGCGTTGAAGCCGCGGCGCCGCCTCCATGGGATCGCAGAAGGAGGAGTCCATGAGGTTCCCAAATACCCCGTATGATGCGAGCATTGATGCCGCGGCGGCCAGCAACATCCGACCACTGGATCTTGGATTGTTCTTGCGCGAATGCACCAACAGGAAGCCGCGCGATAGGAACTCCGTCCACCGCGAGGAAGCCATCGGTGCGGTTCGGTCGGATGTCCAGTTTCGAACAGCAGGGGAGGGCGTGTTTTGCGAGGCGCTTGCGCTGAACTTCTTGCTGTACTTGTTTGGGACCCTTGCCCGCGCCGGCGAAGAGATCATGCTTGGCGCCGTGATCGAAGATGCTGAAATTGCGCCGTTCTCGGCCGATTCGAAGGTGAGCATGCCAGGCTTGAGCGCGAGGGTCGGCCACTCTGTCCCCGTCTATGAATGTAATAGAAACCCGCTTGTGTGGGGCCACGTTGTTGACGCGGACTGTGGCCACGTCGACGCCCGCGTCTATGAAACAGGGGGCGAGAGCGACGTGCAACTGTTATTTGTTGATCGGGATGACAACGCCGCACCAGAACGTGGCGAAATGTCCAGGACGGTCCCATGCTCCGATGTTGGCCAGGTCCAAGGTCGGTACCTTGGGCTCCGCACTAGCAAGGGCCTGCTTGATGGCATTGACCAGTTGCTTGGGGGAGGAGTTGTCCATGTTTGCCTTGTCCATGCGGATTTTGGGCGCGATGGTGTCATGTTCTGTGGCGTCGAATCGAAATGAGAAGCTGCCGGCTGTTGTCTGCACCTGTGACAAGAGAGCCCCTTGAGCGTCGTTGCGTCATGTCTCTGCCATTGCGTTGCCAGTTGAGCTGGTCAAGTTAACTTGAGCCTTGAGTAATTGTTCCAGTTCGGCATTGGGACAATCACCTTTGTCCTTACCTTTTGCAGCGACCGCCGCGGCGGCGTCGTACCAGGGATCGGCAGTGCGGCGTGGCGGGCGGCTCCCTGTGGGACAGTCTGACATTCCCGAGGTGTGCAGTCGCTCAGCAGACACGAAAAAGAGGAGGCCGCGGCACCTCCGAGAAATCCCGCCTGGATATGTAGGGCGGAGGACCAAAAGACACTCCTTCGCTGGCCTCGGAACAGAGGTATGCCATGGAAGCCTGCGGGTGCTGTGCCCGCCAACACTGGGATCTTGAGCCAAAGTGGCGGCGGAGCTGAGGAGGAAAAGGAGGAAAAGGAGGAGGAGAAAAAACG